TTATATACATTTAACGTTTTCAGTGAGAAATACTAGGATTTGAACCTGGGTTCACACTTGCTGGGAATGTGCTGTAGTGTTTATCATGTCTCCAGCCCTGGTCTTGCACTGAATGTTTCCCCTTCCCTTTTGTGGTGGTTGTTGGCAATGGGACTTGAACTTTAGGCCCTGGCTACTGTCCCTAAACCTTTTTGCTCAAGTCCAGCACTCTGCCACTTTGAATCACAAGTCACAGTGCCACTTCTGGTTTTCTGGTGGTTAATTGAAGTTAACAGTTTTAGAGACTTTGCTGCCAGGGCTGGCTTTGAACTGCAATCCTTAGATCACAGTCTCTTGAGTAGCTAGGGTACTGGCAGGAGCCACCAGTGTGCAGCTAGTTTCACTTCTTGTTCAGGTGGTGATTTCTTTTTGTGCTAGTACAGGAACGTAAATTAAGGGCCTGGGCGCTGTCCTCTTTTGCTCAAGTCTAATGCTCTACAACTTGAGTCACAGCTTTATTTTGGACTTTTGCTGCTTAATTGGAAGAACTAGTTGACACAGAGTTAACTGCCTGGGCTATATTTGAATCATGATCCTCTGTGATCTGCACTTTTTTTGGGGGGGGGGGGGTGGCTTGTGGTTCTTAAAACTCTGGGCTTGGGTGCTGTCCCTTAGTTCTTCAGTTCAAGGCTAGCGCTCTACAACTTGAGCCACGGTGCCACTTCTGGTTTTCTGGTGGTTAATTTGAGATAAAAGTCTCACCGACTTTCCTGCCCCAGATGGCTTTGAACTGGGATCCTCAGATCTTAGCCTCATGAGTAGCAAGGATTACAGGCCTGAGCCACCAGCACCTGGTGCTGAGGAATCAAACCCAGGACCTCATGCATGCAAGGCAAGCACTCTACCACTGAACCACCTTTCCAGCCCCTATTAAGAATTTAATAGCCACCTGCTGGTGGCTCACACCTGTAAAAATTTCATGGAGTCAGGCGCCGGTGGCTCATACCTGTAATCTTAGCTATTCAGGAGGCTGAGGTGTAGGATCAGGGTTCAACTATGCAACTTTACCTCCAGTTAACCATCCAAAAAAAACAAAGAGGAGCTATAGCTCATGGTACAGTATCCACCCTGGCCCTGAATTCAGGCCCCAGTAATGGCAGACAGCTATTTCATCCCTGGATTACTGTGCAACTGTACTGTTGTACTCTTAGACTTTTTTTTGGCCAGTCTCGGGGGCTGTCCCTGAGTTTTTTGTGTTTTTTTTTTTTTTTCCCGGTTGGTCATGGGGCTTGAACTCTGGGCCTGGCTGCTGTCCCCCAGCTCTTCAGCTCAAGGCCAGCACTACATTTGAGCCACAGAGCCACTACTTCCGGTTTTTTGAGTGGTTTATTGGAGATAAGAGTTTTACAGCTTTTCCTACCCAGGCTGGCTTTGAACCATGATCTTCAGATCTCAGCCTCCTGAGTAGCTAGGATTACAGGCGTGAGCCACCAGCACCCTGCTGTCCCTGAGCTTTGTTATGTTCAAATCTATTCTACTATTTGAGCCACAGTTCCACTTCAGCTTTTTTTTGTTTATTGGAGGTGTCGTGGACTTTCCTGTCTAGACTGGTTTTAAACTGTGATCCTCAGAGCTCAGCCTCCTGAGTAGCTTATAGGCATGCACCACCAGCACCTGGCTTTTTACATTGACATTAGTTTTCCTTTTGTTTGGAATGTTCTAAAATGGACTTAATCAAAGTAATCAGAAGACAAAAATGGTAGAATTTTGCAGAGCCAATCAGTTTCACAGACATACAAGGGAAGGGGTTAGGGTGTATGTTTCAAGTACATTCCTTGCCTAGCTTATTCCAGGTCCTAGATTCAATCCCCAGGAACACACATACTGAATATCCTCCTAGTTTGTCATTACTTAACATGAAAATCATGCTACCAATACCTGTGGTTTGACAACATACATATTGAGAACTCCAAAGATTCCAAATGAACTATATCTATATATATATATATGGTTTTCATTAAACCCTGACAAATAAAATGTCTGATGGTATGTTACTTTCAGTGTGGAAGATAACTCGGATTAAATAAATTGTCTACAAATATGAGGATTCAGCTATTGATCCACCGTTTGCTACAAAAGTGGATCACTTGGGTTTGTTTGGGTTTTTTTGTCGGTCATGTGGCTTGAACTTGGCTTGGGCGTCAACTCAAGGCCAGTGTTCTACAGCTTGAGCCACAGCACCACTTCCAGTTTTCTAGTGGTTTATTGGAGATAGAGTCTCTCGGAGTTTCCTGCCCGGACTGGCTTTGAACCGTGATCCTCAGATCTCAACCTCCTGAATAGCTAGGATTATAGGCGTGAGCCACCGGCGCCCAGATATTTGAGGTATACTTTTTCCTAGCTTTCCTCAAAATTTCAAAGTTGTCAAGGTGTTTAAGAACCTCTATAAACCATATAATGGGGACTGGGAAGAGATAGGTAAAACTTTATTTGCACAACATCTCGACCAGGAACTGCTATGTTTTGTCAATATACATTACAACTATCTTCCCTGTAAGTGGGAAATAGGTTGTTTTACCTTACCAACAGGAGCTAAAATGAGACATCAATAGCCACAGCTCCTAATGAAACCAACTGTCGGTTTTCAATTCTTTAGTGTTTAATAGGGAGGTGGGAGGGAATTATTAAAATGTTGTAAGTCACCTAGAAGTCTTCTCCCACAAAAACTGATTTTAAATGTTTAATGCATCAATGTGGTGGCATGGGTCTATCATCCGAGGTCAGTGGTTTCAAGTTACCCAAGCAGAAGTCTGATAACCTTCATGTTCGACTAATTAGCAATAAAGTTGTACTGGAGTGAAATAGCTAAGCAAGTTGGCCCTGAATTCAAGCCCTGGTACTGGCACAAAATACCAACCAAAAAAACCCTTTTAGGGCTGGGAAGGTGGCTCAGTGGTACAGCGCTTGCCTTGCATGCATGAGGCCCTGGGTTCCATTCCTCAGCATCACATAAGCAGAAAAAAAAGCCCGAAGTGGCATTGTGGCTCAAGTGGTAGAGTGCTAGCCTTGAGCTGAAGAGCTGAGGGACAGCGCCCAGGCCGAGTTCAGGCCCCACGACCGGCCCCCCCAAAAGAAAAAAAAAAACCTTTCATAAAGCTATAGTTAGAAAAACTTGTGTGGGATTAATACAAGTTTTCACTGCTTCACAAACCAAAAATTATTATTTTGCCAGTCCTGGGGCTTGAACTCAGAGCCTGGACACTTCCTGAGCTTTCGCTCAAGGCTAGAACTCTTTAACCACTTGACCATGCCACTTCAGGCTTTTTCTGTGTATGTGGTACTGAGGAATCGAATGCAGGGCTTCATGCATGTTAGGCAAGCACTCTTGCCACTATGCCACATTCCCAGCCCTGAAAAAAGTTTTAATAGTGCAGCTAGTGGTACACTCCTGTAATCCTTGCACTCTGGAAACTAAGGCAGGAGTTCCAGGCCAGCCTGGCCTACATGAGAACCTATCTGGGAAAAAAAAAAGACAAAGTTTTGGTTATAAAATACAGATAGTCTCTGAAGGATGCACAAAGTTTAAACCAAAAGCACGTGTTTTTCATTTTCTCAAGAGACGCTATTGTGAACTTGAAATGAGCAAAACCCCTACTTATCAAGTGGCCTAATCCAATGTAACCTGACACCATTAAGGCCTGTAAGTAATCGGAACTGAGTAGCTAGATCACAGGCGTGAGCCACCGACCCCACCCCACCCCCAAAAATCAGAACTACTTTAAAATTGTTTATTATGCATCAAAACGATTTTCTTTCACATGGTATTTGGATATCAAGGAGATGTACAGGAACAACATTCCAAACTCAAACTAGAGTCAGTTCTAAGCGAAAAGATAACCAAAGCCTTGATTATCCGTTATATAATCACCTTAATCTCCCAGTTTATGAAAGGATTCAAATCTGAGCCCAGCCTCCCCATTCTTAGTACAGATTCGATTTAAAAGAGAGAACTGCCATGATCTGGCTTGCCAAACAAATGAGGGTTTACTAGCATTGCCAATGGTTTAGAAAGGCGTTGGGTTGAGAGCAAGAAGCAGTGTCACTCATGCCATAACGAACCTATTCTTGCTAGGCTTCGGGATTCCCACCCAATGCTCTTCCCATCCTTTTGACTTTAATTCCACGACACACAACAGGGAGAGAACATACAAATGCAAGGACAGCATTTCAATCGACTTCAAACTGAAGAGCCAAAGACAAGAACGCACAGCAGAACCGGCATCGTCTCCCTGCGGAGTCCAAGGCCCCGGCCCCGGCCACCGAGCTCCGCAGGGGCTGAAGGATCACCCTTCCGCCAACCGGTCCTCGCTACACCCGCCCGGCGACGGTGGAAACACCGGCACGCCAGGAAGCCGGCTCCCGGCACACGCCAGCTCTCCGCCAAGCAGAGCCCTCGCCCGAGACCCAAGGCCTCGGCCAGCACTGGGAGTCTCCGGGGAGCCTGAGGGCCTCGCAGCCAGTCCTCCTCCTTCCCTTCTCCTCCCTCCGGACGGGACAACATCCGGCAACCGCGAGGCAAAGGCCATCCGGTCTCCAGAATGTGCTCCGGCAAGCCCACCGGGAGCCCCCAAGCTGCGTCCTCGCCCCTGTGGGGAAAATGGCGCCCGTCACTCCTTCTCCCTCCCGGGTAATCACAAGGACCAGCCTCCCACCCTCGCTACAAGATGGCGTCTGCCGCCCGGGCCCCAGAATCGGCATACTTCACGTCTTAGTGAAGTGGTGTAGGGCTGGGACGAGCCGTTCTGCCAACCAGTCAGACGCAGAAGCTTAGATTCTGCACTTCGCACGAGCCACTCAGACGCTGGCGGGAAGGCCAGGCTAGGATGACGTAAGGGACTAATGGAGTTTCCCTTGGCGTCGCCTGAATTTGAACCAATAGGAAGCAGGAAGCGTCCGTTGAGTGACATACTGACAGCCCAATGGAAGCTGAGGGCGGGCCTCAGACTTCCTATGCGAGTTGCGGGGCCTGGGGGCCGGGCGGCTGTTTCCTGTCCTGGTGCATGGTGGTCGGACGAAGGAATTGTTGGAAAATTTTCTCGGAGGTTCGTATATAAATGTGTTTTTACCCAGTGTGCATTATTCTTCGCCCGGCCGCCGCCCTCAACGCGGCGGCGCGGGCCCACTTGGGCCTGGGCTCTGGCTTCCCGCTTCCAAGCCTGGGCTTCAGGCCTTGCCGATGCTACGGCCGCCTCGGTACGGCGCCTGAGCAGAAGCGGAGTTTATTAATAACCCGCAGCCGCCACTCTAGGGCGGCAGAGCTTTTCTCACTGCGGACGCCCCCCCACCTGGTCTCCGCGCCGCGCCCCGCCTGTTCCCCTTGGGGACCGCCGAGGGGAGGGAGTGGGGAGGGTGGAGTCCTCGGGCGCCCGGCGGCGTTTCTGCGCCTGACCTTCGCGGGGAGCGTGTCCCCAGGCGCGCCGAGTCGGAGCATCTCGGTTCGGGACGCTGGGGCCACGGTTAGCGCCAGGCCCCAGCAGGGGCGCCGGCTGCTAGTCTGGCCCGGGGCCCACTCGGGACCCCGTCTGTCCACCGCGCCAAGAGTTTCCCCCCGCATAATCGCGGGCAGATCTCTTGGTTTTCCTTGTGTTTTGTCTATTTTTTTTTTATAAGATCGCTGAAACAATATTGAAAATTAGAAGCTAACAACTTATTATTTCCTTCCTCCCCTTCTTTTTCCCTCCCGATTTTGGCCAAAGAATATAATTTGTGAGACCTGAACCAAATTTTTTGTTACCCCTTGTCGCTCTTGTTTTGTTGGGTTTTTTTTCCCCCTTATTTCCCCCTTTTGTTACACAAAATTTTTAAAAGTGAAAAAAAGAAAAAGAAAAAAGCTATTGCCAGACAATTGTCTTGAATCAACTCCCTTTATTTTGGAAGCTTCTTAAATCAGCGGGTGAGAAAATGTAGATCCCTGGTTATGATTGGCTTTGTCCTTAATCTTACTAGAACATACGTGTGTTCTGATGTACTTAAAACATGAGTATTATTGAGTACTATTTTCTTGGCAATGTGTACTTATAAATATTATTTATGATGAGATTTCCCCAAAGTCCCAACAATATGTATAACTTAATTTCTCCTGGGGTATTTTGATTATTTGGAAAATACTTAATAATTTACATTTCTCCCACTTTAATAACAGCTTTATTGACAGAATTTACATACCTTAATACACTGCTTAGGTGAATTTCGATATTTTCTGAGTTGTGCATTTCTTATGTTTATATACCCATCACAGTCAACTTCAGAATATGTTCACCATTGTCCCAAACTACCTACACTTTACTCCCTTATTTCTTCCCTACCCTTAAATCTGTAGATTTACCTATTTTTCACATTTCAAATAAATAAAATCATATAGTATGTGAACCCTGACTGGCTTATTTTGCTTAGGTTGGTATTTGCCAGTTCATGTCAGTGCATATGTCAGTTCTGCTTTAATTTTTCCATTATACATACGGTTATAGCACATTTTATTCATTAATGGACACATGGATATTTTTACCTTTTTGCTATTAGGCATGTTTCTAAAACATCTAAGTACAAGCTTTCAGATGACATAGGTTTTATGTTTCTTGGGCATATATATGGAGGGTTAGGGCTACTGAATTGTAATTCTACATGGAGTTTTTGTTTTTTCTTCTGATACTGGGGCTTAAACTCAAGGCCTGTGCACTGTCCCTTAGCTTTTTCACTCAAAGCTTTCTCCAACTTAAACTACTTCTAGCATTTTTTTTTTTACTTCTAGCATTTTGGTTGTTGATTGGAGATAAGCGCCTCATGGACTTTCCTGCCCAAGCTAGCTTTGAACCTGAATCCTGAGATCTCAGTCTACTGAGTAGCTAGAATTACAGGCATGAGCCATCAGAACACTACATTGAATCTTAAGAAACTCAAACTTTTTTTTTTTTTTTTGTCGGCCATGGGCTTGAACTCTCTGGGCCTGGGTGCTGTCCTTGAGCTCTTCAGCTCAGGGCAGGTACTTTGCCACTTGAGCCACAGTGCCATTTCCATTTTTTTTTTTTTTCTGGTGGTTAATTGGAGATAAGAGTCTCAGGGACTTTCCTGCCCTGGCTGGCTTTCAACCACAATCAGACTTTTTATTTATTTATTTTGCCTGTCCTGTCTCTTGAACTCAGCCTGGACACTTTCTCTGAGCTGTTTTTTGTTCAAGGCTAGCACTCTACCACTTGAGCCACAGTGCTACTGCTGGCTTTTTCTGAGCAGTTTATTGGATTTAAGTCTCCTAGACTTTATTGCCTAGGCTGGCTTCAAACCACAATCCTCACATCTCAGCTTCTGTGTAGTGAAGATTACAGGTGTAAGCCACTGGTACCCAGCTACTGTCAAAACTTTTTGTGCCATCTACCAAGGAAAGATAAGGGTTCCCCTTTCTCCTCTTGGTTGCTAATACCTATTATCATTCTTTTTCATAGCCATGCTAGTGGGTATGAAATATATCTTGTGGGTCTGACTTGCATTTCTCTGGTAGCTAATGATGTGCATTTCACCATGTGTTTATTGGTCATTTGTATATCTTTTGAAAAGATACACATGTGTGTCTTAGATCTTCTTTTAATTTTTACTTTTTTTGTTTTTTTATTGTTGTTAACAAAGGTAAAAGAAAGGTTAACAGTTACCTAAGTTAGGTAAAAAGTTAATTTCTTTTTGGACAATGTAACCTCTTCCCTCTCACTCTCCCAGTTTTTCCCTCCCATCCGTATCCACAAGTTGTATAGTTCATTTTCAACATAATGTCTAGTGAGTACCATTGCTGCATTTGTTTAAGCACTTATTTTGCATGTTGGAATATTGCTATGAAGTAAAGGCTCATTGGGTTCTCCCTCCTTCCCTCCCTCCCTTCCATCCTCTCCTCTCCCTGACCCCCCCCCCCCGCCCCCTCTCTGCCACTCTCTTGATGCTAGTACTGAGGTTTGAACTCACCCTCAAACTCTCACTTGGCTTTTTCTGCTTAAGACTAGTGCTCTACAATTTGAGCCATACCTCCATTTCCAGCTTTTTGCTATTTGAAGATAAGATTCTTATAGACTTTCTGTCTAGGCTGACCTTAAACCTTGATCCTCAAATCTCAGCTTCCTGACTAGCTAGAATTACAAGAATGACCTTCAGTGTCTAGCTTGCCAAATTATTGTTTGTTTAGTTACTTAGTTACTGTTTTGTACTAAGGATTGAACACAGAGCCTCATGTTCCTAGGCAGGCACTGTACCACTTTTTATATTTGTTATCTTTTTAGGCTGGTTCTCAGTTTATGCCCAGGTGACCTTGGGCTGTGTTCCTTTTTTTCCTCTTTCTTTTTAATTTTATTTTATTGTAAAGATGCTGTGGGCGAGAGGGAGGTTCTGTGTTCCTTTTTTATGCTTCCCCATGTAGCTGGTGATGATAGGCACTTGCCACTTCACCCAACCATTGTGCTTACCCCATGGCTGTGTTAACAAATGTAGGCCACCATGCCCAGCCATTGATTGAGATAGAGTTTCAAACTTCTGTTTTGTTTTCAAACCACAATTCCGCCATTCCTTTCTTTTCCTACCAAGTAGCTAGATTACAAGCTTGAGTGCCTGGCCTGACTCATTATTTGTTAGTTTTCTGAGAATCAGGGTTTGTGTTTTAAGTCTGAGATTTTACTTTTTGTTCCTGGCTTTATTTCAGGCCAACATGATTTTTTTTTTTTTTTCTGGTCCTGGGGCTTGAACTCAGGGCCTGTACACTGTCCCTGAGCTTCTTTTGCTCAAGGCTAGCACTTGAGCCACAGCATTGACTTTTTGTTGTTTATTTGGTACTGAGGAATCAAACACAGGGTTTCATGCATGCTAGGCAATTACTCTACTAAGATACATTCCCATCTAACTTCCGGCTTTTCCTGAGTAGTTTATTGGAGGTAAGAGTCTCAGGGACATTTCTGCCCAACCTGGCTTCAAACTGTGATCCTCAGATACCAACCTCCTGAGTAGCTAGGATTATAGACGTGAGGCACTGATGTCTGGCCAAAATGATTTTTGAAAGAGTTTTCATGTACCATTGCTCCTTTCTAAACTTAATTATGAGATGGAATTATGTGTGGGAGGGGGATTGGAGAGCTGATATTGGGGCCTGAACTCAGGGTCTGGAGCTCTTGCTTAGCTTTTTTGTGCACAACTGGCACTCTGCCACTTGAGCCACTTGCTCTACTTCCAATGTTTTACTAGTTAATTGGAGATTGTCTGGAGGATTTGTCTGCCCTGTTGACTTCAAACCTGAATCCTTAGACTTCAGCCTCCTGAAGAGCTAGGATTATAGGCAGGGTCATCTGAGATAAATTTATTTTAACTCAGAGTTTCAGAAGTCCATGAGGGATTGTTTTGTCTGGGCCATGTTGAGGCAGTCCATCACTGTAGAACAAAGTTGCTTACCACATGATGGTCCAGAAGCAGAGAGACAGACAGGCAGGAGCCAAGAGCAAGTTATATTTTTTCAAGGCATGTCCACAGAGACCTACTTCTCTTAACTAGCCTCCCATCCCAACATTTTTTGAATCCATTAAGAGATTAACTATTGATTAGATCAGAGCCCTGAGAATCCAGCCACTTCCTAAAAGCCCTTTAGTTGGTAACCCTTTAATATACAGTCTTTTGGGGACACTTTGAATTCAGACCATAACATTCTGCCCCTAGGTCCCAAATGCTTATACCTGGATCCTAAGCGTGTTTAGTTCATCTCCAAGAGTCCCCAAAGTCTTAGCAGTTTCAGCATTGCTTGAAAGTCCAAGTCCAAAGTCTCCTGAGACTCAAGGCAAACTGTTAGCAGTGAGCTCCTGTAATACTAAAACAGTTATATTTCCAACATAAAATGGGAGACATTCTCATACCAAAGAAGAGAGTGGAAAAGTAGTGAGGAAGAACTGAACCAAAGCAAGATTCACACCCAGCAGAGCAAATATTAAATCCTAAACTTTGTGTCTAGTATCTGGAGTCAATGGTTAGCTCCAGTCCTTAGGCAGACCTGCTCCTGCTGTCTTTCTTATGAGTTGCAACCCACATGGGATCTTTCTGGCGCTGCTGCTTTTGGTTTCCTCTATATGTGTTCCACAGTCCTGGAATCTCCATTACTCTTTTGGCTTCACATTGATCATCCTTTCAGGGACTGGCCTGCTGGGAATCAAACCATAATATATACTGCCTGGTCTTTCTTTTGAAATCACTTTTTTTTTTTTTGGGGGGGGGGGGGGTTGTGAGGCTTGAACTCTGGGCCTGGGCACTGTCTCTCAGCTCTTTAGCTCAAGGCGAGTGCTCTACCACTTGAGTCACAGTGCCACTTCCGGTTTTCTGGTGGTTTATTGGTGATAAGAGTCTCATGGACTTCCTGCCTGGGCTGCCTCTGAACCATGATCCTCTGATCTCAGCCTCCTGAGTAGCTAGGACTACAGGTGGGAGCCACCGGTGCCCGGCTTTACTTCAGTTTTTTAGAATCTTATGTTTTTGCCCAGGCTGATCTGGACCTCGATCCTCTATTTATCCCTCCTCTGTAGCTGAGATTAAAATGTATGCCTTTGCACCTGGCCTGCTTAAGTATATTATGAAAAATATGAATGTAGTCAGTCTACGTTTATTCTTTTGCTATTAGGTGGAGTACTCTGCCCCTGTGTTCAAGCCCCATTCCCCCCACCAAAAAGGGATGGGAGAGAAAGCTTAAGAATATTGAAATTTAAAGTGTACGTTTCCTCAATGGAATGCTTCACATCATATCATGTTGATCTGTCTCATTCGTTGAACATTCACTCTTTGTATTGCTGAGTACAATGCTAGTACTCACCATGCACAGGATCATGAGTTCAGTTCAGGAAACATAAAAAGGTTGAGGGACAGATGTAACCTGAGGTTTTTCCACTGTCCTATAGTGTTTTTCATTGCCATTCACCTATTCTTGCTGCTCACTAGTCATTCTACCACTTGAGACACACATCTAAACTAGCAATCTCTTTGTATAGTTAAAGGGCAGAGGGCTGGGAATGTGGTAGAGTGCTTGCCTAGCATGCATGAAGTCCTGGGTTCTGTTGTTCAGTACTTCATAAACAGAAAAGGCCAGAAGTGGCACTGTTCCTCAAGTGGTAGAGTGCTAGCCCTGAGCAAAAGAAGCTCAGGGACAGTACCCAGGCCCTGAGTTCAAACCCAGGACTGGCAAAAAAAAAAAAAAAAAAATCACTGGCAGACTTGTAGATAGGAAGTTTGATTGAGTCTTGACAGTCAGGATAGGTGCATATTTTTAGTTGATGTATTTCAGATCTGCATTTTTTTCAGTCAAGCCTTCTGGGCTCTAGTGGCTCATACCTGTAATCCTAGCTAATCATGAGGCTGAGATTTGAGGATCGCAGTTTGAAACCAGCCCAGGGAGGAAAGTTAATGAGACTCTTAATATCCATTTAACCACCAAAGAGTGGGAAGTGGAGGTATGGCTCAAGTGGTAGAGTATTAACCTTGAGCAAAAAATGCTCAGGGAGGGGCTGGGAAGTTGGCTCAGTGGTAGAGTGCTTGCCTTGCATGCATGAGGCCCTGGGTTTGATTCCTCAGCACCACATAAGCAAAAAGAAAAAAAAAAGCCGGAAGTGGCACTGTGGCTCAAGTGGTAGAGCACTAGCCTTGAGCTGAAGAGCTGAGGGACAGCGCCCAGGTCCAGAGTTCAGGCCCCACGACCAGACCCCCCCCCCAAAAATAAAAAAAGCTCAGGGACAATGTTTAGACCCTAAGTTCAAGCCTTAGGATTGGCACAAAAAGAAATAAAAAAACAGCGAATGTATGTTAAACTCCATTTGTTTGTTTGTTTTTGCCAGTCCTGAGGCTTGAACTCAGGGCCTGAGCACTGTCCCTGAGGTTCTTTTGCTCAAAGCTAGCATTCTACTACTTGAGCCACAGTGCTGCTTCCAGCTTTTTCTGTTTGTGTGGTACTGAGGAATTGAACCCAAGACTTCATGCATGCTAGGCAAGCACTCTACCACTGAGCCACGTTCCCAGCCTTTTTTTTTTTTTTGCCAGTCCTTGTGCTTGAACTCAGGGCCTGGGCACTGTCCCTGAGATTCTTTTGCTCAAGGCTAGTGCTCTACCACTTGAGCCACATCTTTTTTTTTTTAATTTACTTTATTGTTATTATAAAGGTGAAGTACAGAGGGGTTATGTTTACATGAGTCACGTAATGAGTACATTTCTTTTTGTGCAGTGTCATCTGTTGCTGGGAGATTTTTGAAATTGAGATGCTTATTAGTTGAGAATCCCAAAGACATTATTAAAAGAAAATATACTAAGAAATATCTGTTAATAAAACTTTTAGTTGGTTATTATCTTTAAATATTTGTACAAAGGGGTTTCAATTCAACTTGTCAATTTATGTTACAGTGCATCTTGATCAATGTCACCCATTCCATCATTTTCTCCCACATCTATCCCAACGCCACCCATTCCTCAAGTTACCTGGTTCCATTGAATACTATGACTGTATTCATCCACCATTCCTCTCTCTCTGCCTACCTTCCCTTAAATCCTCTCTCATAAAAACATCTTCCTGGTATACATTTTGTTAATCTGTCAGTTAACCATTCAAAGGAGTTACACCATTAGAATTGTTAGTAAAATTCTTGTTGTGAGCTGAAGTTGTACAAGTCAGTAGTAGGATGCTTGCCTAGCATGGATGGGCTGCTAGCCTTGTTCCTTGGTACATGCATGTGCGTGAGTGCATGCATGCACACACGCGTGTATGTACATATACACACAAGATAACATAGAGAATGAGTATGAACAGATGTTTTAGAAAATATTTTTGCCAGTCTATCACAGTACCCCTTGAGCCACATTTCAACTTCTGGCTTTTGGATGGTTGTTTGGAAATAAATGTCTTACAGACTTTCCTATCTGAGCTGGTTTTTATTCTTGGATCTCAGCCTCCTGAATAGCCTGGAGCCCAGCCTTTCTACTTCATTCTTCTTCATACACACTAATCGCACGGAAAGCAAACCAGCCTTATTTCTTAAGCTTCCCTGTGCAGGTGTACATTTACTGAGCTATATGTCCAGTGCTACTTTTTTAGTCTTAAGTGAAATACCATTGTCTTTCAAATACCACTTTTAAGGTTCACAATTATTTGCAACTTTTTCCTAAGTATCATTCTTAAGTGTCTATATTTTTCTTCAAGGCAGAAAATGTTGTTAGCCCAAATAAATCGGGATTCTCAGGGAATGACAGAGTTTCCTGGAGGAGGCATGGAGGCTCAACATGTTACCTTATGCCTGACAGAGGCAGTTACTGTGGCAGGTGAGCATTCATTTAAGGGGATTGTGTGGGTTTGGAAATAACATTTATCTTAAGGAAAATCTGTAACACTGTGTTTCTTATTTAGTGAGATCCAGCTCATACTAAGGCCTTTTTATGAGTATTGTTTTTAACTTGCCATTCATGTCATGCATGCTGGTAGAGTAGGGAAATAATTTTTCTAAATGCTAAGAAAGAGTCTTAAGAGTTAAGTATTCTACCTTTTGCCTAGTTTTCTTCTTTAAAAAATAGTTTAATCAGCATATGTGTATGTGTATGATAGTATCTAAAGAAAGCAATTTTGTTTTATACTAGATGGTGACAATTTAGAAAATATGGAAGGTGTAAGCTTACAAGCAGTGACACTTGCAGATGGTTCTACTGCTTACATACAACACAATTCTAAAGGTATGTGTCTCTTACACAACCAGTTTGTTAATACAGTGTTTTAGAACCATAGAGTTGGAGCCCCTAGTAACTTTACTGCATTTTCAATTTCCTAAAGATGCTATATTGCATATGATAATTTAAAATTATTTCAATTGAACTGAAATTTTGTTTTGATAATTTAGGGACATCGTTCAAGATATTTGGAAGATATTCTGGGGCACCAAAATTAGTAGAGGAGAGCAGAGTAGGAAGTATCTCTGGTTTTTAGCCTCTTTCTTTGTTTCCTTCTTCCATGTGTGTGTGTGCGCGCGTGCACGCACGCACACTCACGTACACGTGTGTGCCCTCATAGTGTGAACTCAGGGTCTTAGCTGTCTCTTAGCTTCTTTGCTCAAGACTGGTGCTCTATTACTTGAGCATAGCTTTCATTTCTAGCTGTTCTTAATGGTTAATTAGAGATAAGGCTTTTTCTCATGACTTTTTCTGCTCAGGCTGGCTGAGTAGCTAGGATATACAGATAGAAGACACTGACACCGACTTTTTATTTTGGGGGTGGTGGTGGTACTACTGGGATTTGAACTCAAGGCCTTACACTGGTTAAGCAAATGACCTACCACTGAGCCATGCCTCCAGATCTCTCTGATATTTCTCTTAAGAACATTCTTGCTTTTTTTTAATTATAGTTATTTAAAGAGTAAAGGACGTTTGATTTGGGCTGGGACTATGGTTTAGTGGTAGAGTGCTTGCCTAGCATGCATGAAGCCCACCCAGGGTTTGATTCCTCAGTACCACACAAACAGAAAAAGCCGGAAGCAGCATTGTGGCTCAAGTGGCAGAATGGCAGCCTTGAGCAAAAGAAGCTCAAGGACAGTGCCCATCAAGTCCCAGGATTAGCTAAAAAAAAAAAAAAAAGACATTTGGTTTTGTTTGAGGAACTTTGTCTTTTATTGGTGTTTAGTTCGCTCTAGGAAATAGCTCGGTTCCAAAACTCCTTGTTTTTATGGACTATCTACCCACCAGAGGTGAGAATGATAACTGGCTTCTTTTTTTGGGGGGGTCTGGTCGTGGGGCTTGAACTCTGGGCCTGGGCGCTGTCCCTCAGCTCTTCAGCTCAAGGCTAGCACTCTACCACTTGAGCCACAGTGCTACTTCCGGCTTTTTTCTTTTTGCTTATGTGGTGCTGAGGAATCGAACCCAGGACCTCAGGCATGCAAGGCAAGCACTCTACCACTGAGCCACCTTCCCAGCGATAACTGGCTTCTTATATCCTGACATCTTTCAGCTTCCTATGGTCAAGGTCATTAATCCTAAGAGGTTTTGAAAAATATATACAGGTTCAACCTGATGTAGGTTGCTGTATGCGCCACTCTTCCTCTTGAACTCATGTGATTGAAAATGGGAGGGGAGGAAGGATGGCTGAGGGAGGATTTTCTGCTTTCTATAGGATCACTGGATGTGTTATTGCATTGCCTCAGAACATTGAGGGAAGAATCAAGATGAACATGAGCTTAAGTAGTGTATGTTTTTATAGTTGCTATTATTTTGAAATTGTATAAAGTTTTAACTTTTTATTTGTCCTAATTTATTGACTTTACATTTCATTACAGATGGAAGACTCATTGATGGACAGGTCATTCAACTGGAAGATGGTTCTGCTGCCTATGTTCAACATGTACCCATACCTAAAAGTAGTAAGTGTTTAAGATACAACACAGGAAATACTCCTGATTCTCACATTCAGTACTTGCTGCCTCCAGTTCCCACTTACTACCTAAACTTATTCCTGATTTCTGGTCTTCCTTCTGAAAAGGGAAGTCACTAGATGCAAAAGAGAGGATCTGTAGATTGTTTTTTGTTTGTTTTTGCTGGCCCTGGGGCCTGAACTCCTGGAATAGGTGCTGGTCCTAAGCCTTTGTGCTCAAGGCTAGTGTTCTACCACTTGAGCTACAGTGCCACTTCCAGCTTTTTCTGAGTAGTTCATTGGAGATAAGAGTGTTATAGACTTTTCTGCCCAGGCTGGCTTTGAACCGTGATTCTCAGATCTCAGCCTCAGTAGCTAGGATTAGAGGCGTGAGCCACCAAATCCCAGCTGTAGACTGTTTTTATTTAAACAGGTCTTTTGTTCAAAGATAGTAGAAAATGTTGAATGCCAGTGGCTCATCATTGTAATCCTAGCTGCTAAGGAGGCTGAGACCTAAGGAGTGTGGTTTGAAGCCAGCCTGGACAAGAAAAGCCCATGAGACTCTTATTTCCAATTACGCATCAGAAAACAGCAAGTGGTGCTGTAGCTCAAAGTAGTAGAGCACTGGCCTTGAAAAAAGCTCTGGGAGGGCTGGGAAGGTGGCCCAGTGGTAGAGTGCTTGCCTTGCATGCATGAGGCCCTGGGTTCGATTCCTTAGCACCACATGAGCAGAAAAAGCCAGAAGTGGCACTGTGGCTCAAGTGGTAGAGCGCTAGCCTTGAGCTGAAAAGCTGAGGGACAGTACCCAGGTCTAGAGTTCAGGCCCCACAACTGGCAAAAAAAAAAAACAAAGCTCAGGACTGCACCCAGGCCCTGATTTCAAGCCCTATGACTGACAAAAAAAAAAAAAAAATTAAAAGATAGGGGTTGGGAATGTGGCTTAGTGGTAGAGTTCGATTCCTCAGTACCACATAAGCAGAAAAAACTGGAAGTCGCACTGTGTCTCAAATGGTAGAGCGCTAGCCTTGAGCAAAAGAAGCTCAGGGACAGCGCCCAGGCTCAGAGCTCAAGCCCCACAGCTGACTAAAAAAAAAAAAAAATCAATCAATTAAAAATAAATAAGTAAATATAAGGTAGTGGAAAAGAAATTACTCCACAGACCCCACTGTAGAGATGAGTAGGTAACAGTTCCAAATGAATCTATTGTCTGTGTTAGAATCCTATGTGTCACTCACAGTCTTCTTTTTTCCCCCTTCTTTCAACTTTCCACATCCTTTGTCAAACAAGTATATTCTTATTTTTTATCTTTACATACTTTCTCAAAGCAGCTTTATTGAAATGGCTTAAATGTGCAGAAATTCATAAAGCAAGTGTCAGTTGTCATGATGTATTTAATGGCTTACTAATGTTAATTAGAAGGTGCTGGAACACATGAAATCTAAATGTAAGTCTTGTCCTTGAGCAGGGGACAGTTTGCGTCTAGAAGATGGTCAAGCAGTACAGTTAGAAGATGGAACCACCGCATTTATTCACCATACCTCTAAAGGTACGATAGCTTTGGAAACAAGAATAGAATTAGGGAGAAATAGGAGTGTGAAAAAATAAAATTTGCCGTTAGCTTCTAAAGTGTTTATTCTTTGAAGTACAAGGCAGCATATTTGGGCATGATTTAAGAAAAAACTTCCTGATAATCTGAGCTATCCAAGAACAGTTTGGAATAGCAAACACCATGGACACTGGGATCTCAAGTTGGAGCACCATAAACTGACATGAGTTCAAATCCGGTTTTTCTCTATGTACTGCTTTTTTAAATTTTATTTTTGTCAGTTTTGGGGATTGAACTCTGGGCCTGGGTCCTGTCCATCAGCTCTTCAGCTCTAAGCAAGTGCTCTACCACTTGAGCCACAGCGCCACTTCTGGTTTCCTGGTGGTTTATTGAAGATAAGAGTCTCATGGACTCACCTGCCCATGCTGGCTTTGAACAATCATCCTCAGATCTCAGCCTCCTTAGTAGCTAGGATTACAGGCATGAGCTCCAGCACCTACTATTGCTTGTTAAATTTTTTAAATTTCCTAATTTTTAGCCAGGTATGGGAGCTCACACTTGCAATGCTAACTATTTGGGAGGGACAGAACCAAAGAAATAAATTTCAAGGCCAGCCTTGCTCAAAGTTTAAGAGAGTTCATCTCAACTAATACAATGAGCATGGTGGATTGTACCTATTATCCCAGTTGTGTGTGAACTGTAAGTAGGATTGTGATTCAGGCTGGCTTAGGCATAAACCTTATTCAAAAAATAAAATAAAAAAGGCTGGAAATATGGCCCAAGTAATAGAGTGCCTGCCTTACAAACATAAGGCCCAGAGTTCAAACAGCAACAAAAACCTCCTGCCAGGTACCAATGGCTCATTGCCTATAATCCTATCTACTCACAGGCTGACATCTGAGGATTGTGGTTCAAAACTAGCCTGGGTAGGAAAGTCCATGATACTCTTATCTCCAACTAACCACCTAAAAAGCCAGAAGTGAAGTTGTGGCTCAAGTGGTAGAGTACTAGCATTGATCATAAATGCTCAGGGACAGCACTCAAACCCTGAGTCCAGAGTTCAAGCCCCAGGAGTGGCACCAAAAAAAAAAAAATCATGATTTCTAAGGAAAGGGACTTAAATTCCCAAACCTCAGATACCCATTTTGTACAGTAGGGGTGGTAAATGTAGCCTCAAAGGATTAAAAGAAACAACACAAACAAGGAACATGGTCCAGTGATCATAGTAACTACTTAGTAAAAGTTCATTCATCTGTTAAATTTGTATTAGACTATTTATTGGACTTTTCATTTAATTTCCTTCTCGTCCACCTCCCCAGATAGTTATGACCAGAGTGCATTGCAGGCAGTTCAACTAGAAGATGGCACCACAGCCTACATCCACCATGCAGTGCAAGTTCCACAATCTGACACCATCTTGGCAATTCAAGCTGATGGAACAGTGGCAGGGCTGCATACTGGGGATGCAACAATTGACCCTGACACCATCAGTGCTTTGGAACAGTATGCAGCAAAGGTATGATATTTTGCAATGTTACAACCATCACAGATAAAGCCTCTGTTTTACATGAAAAGAAAAAAAAAAGCATACTTTATCAAGAAATGAGCAATTAGAATCAAATTCAGATAGCATCAAAGAAACCATCGCTGGGCTCTGGTGGCTCATGCCTATGATCCTAGCCCCTCAGGGAGCTGAGATTTGAGGATCACAATTCAAATCCAGCCTAGGCAGGATAGTCCATGAGACTTTTTTTCCTCTAAGACCTGGGGCTTGAACTCAGGGCCTGAGCACTGTCCCTGAGCTCTTTTTGCTCAATGGTAGCACTCTACCAGTTGAGTCACAGGGCCATTTCTGGCATTTTCTGTTTATGTTGTACTGAGGAATAGAACCCAGAGCTTCATGCATGCTAGGCAAGTACTCTGCCACTAAGGTACATTCCTAGCCCTCCATGAGATTATTATCTTCTTTGTTGTTTTTGTTTGTTTGTTTGTTTGTTTTTCTTAACTCTGGGCCTGGGCGCTGCCCCTGCGCACTTCAGCTCAAAGTGAGCGCTCTACTGCTTGAGCCACAGCGCCGCTTCTGGTTTTCGAGAGTCTCACAGTCTTTCCTGCCCGGGCTGGCTTTGAACCGTAATCCTCAGATCTCAGCCTCCTGAGTAGCTAGGATTACAGGTGTGAGCCACCAGCGTCCGATGATTATTATCTTCTGTTAACATCAAAAAGCTAGAAGTAGGGGCTGGGAAGGTGGCTCAGTGGTAGAGTGCTTGCCTTGCATGCATGAGGCCCTGGGTTCGATTCCTTAGCACCACATAAGCAAAAAGAAAAAAAAACCGGAAGTGGCGCTGTGGCTCAAGCGGTAGAGCACTAGCCTTGAGCTGAAGAGCTGAGGGACAGCGCCCAGGCCCAGAGTTCAGGCCCCACGACCTGACCTCCCCCCCCCCCAAAAAAAAAAAAAATATGGTTCACATGATCAAGCACCAATAAAGCAAGCAAACTGAGCAAGGCCTTGAGTTCAAACCCCAATATTGACAAAAAAATAAATAAAAGTAAAGGAAAAAATTCTCAAATTTTACATCACAGGGTTGATAATGATTTAGTATTTACTTTGTTTGGTTTATTTTACCAATCCTGGGGCTTGATCTCAGGACCTGGATACTGTCCCTGGGCTGATTTTGGCCAAGGTTAGTGCTCTGCAATTTGAGCCATACTTCCACTTCCCGCTTTTTTTGTGGTTAATTGGAGATAAGTGTCTCATGGAGGCCTGGAATCTAACTTATTGGGAGAGTGCTTGCCTAGCATGCATGAAGTACTGGGTTCAATTCCTCAGTACCACATAAACAAAATGCCAGAAGTGGCACTGTGGCTCAACTGGTAGAGTGCTAGAGCAAAAGCAGCTCAAGGACAGTGCCCATGCCCTGAGTTCAAGCCCTCAGACTGGAAAAAAAAAAAGAATCTCATGGACTTCCCTGCCTGGGCTTGCTTTGAACCATGTACATATGAGCTACCAGTGGCTAGCTTTCTTTGTTTGAGGGGAGGGCATTGAGATGTATCTTGAATTCATGATCTCAAATATGTACCCCATTCCAGGCAAAATAGTTTTTCTCTGAGGTAGATATGGTTGTGTGTGTTTATAGTCCCAATTACTTGGAACATTAGCGCAAGACTGTTACTCTAGAAATTCAAAGCCATTGTAGGCAACATAGAAAAAAATAATCTGAGGAGTGAGGCTGATAAAGACACATTGTGGCTGGGCGCCGGTGGCTCACGCCTGTAATCCTAACTACTCAGGAGGCTGAGATCTGAGGATCATGGTTCAAAGCCAGCCTGAGCAGGAAAGTCCGTAAGACTCTTATCTCCAATAAACCACTAGAAAACCGGAAGTGGCGCTGTGGCTTAAGCGGTAGAATGCTCGCCTTGAACTGAAGAGCGTAGTGACAACACCCAAGCCCAGAGTTCAAGCCCCACAACCAACCAAAAAAAAAAAAGACACATTGTGTTCATACATAGGACATGATAGTGGCGCTGTGGCTCAAGTGGTAGAGCGCTCGCCTTGAGCTGAAGAGCTGAGGGACAGCGCCCAGGCCCAGAGTTCAAGGCCCACAATGGATAAAAAAAAAAAATCTGGCATATATAGGACATGACAAAATAAAACTTGTAGAACACCGGGTGCCAGTGGCTCACATCTGTAATCCTAGCTATTCAGGAGTCTGAAATCTGAGGATAATGGTTCAAAGCCAGCTTGGGCAGAAAAGTCCCCATGAGACTAATTTCCAATTAACCACTCAAAAACTGGAAGTGTACTGTATTACCTCAAAGTAGTAAAGTGCTAGCCTTGAGCAAAAGAGCTCAGGGACAGTGCCCAGGCCCCCAGTTGAAGTCTTGCAACCAACAACAACAAAAACCCTTCTAGAACAAACTGATGCTAATAAAATTTGAGGAACTGGGCATGGTGACTCAAGCTTATAATCCTAGTTACTTGGGAAGTAGAGATTGAGGAATTGTAATTTGAGGAAAGCCTAGGTATAGAAAGTTGAGGAGACTCCCATCTCACTCAATGGCGAGGTACTGTGGCACGAGCCATCCCCATGGATATGAGGAAACAAGTAGGATGATTATAACCCAGGCTTGCCTAGGCATAAAGTATAACCATGGCAAAAAGGAGCAAGAGGCCAGGCTCAGCTAGTAGAGTACCTGCCTTGCAAGTGCAAGGTTTGAGTTTAATCCCAATAGCATAAAAAATAAAAAGAGGAGAGGGGTGGGAATTCAGAAAGATTAAATAAAAATAACATGGGGGGTGGTGGTCATGATTTATTTTTCTTGTATTCAACATGTATATCTCAAAGGTCTTTGAGGGAAAAGGTCTAACTCAGTGGTAGAGTGTTTACCTAGAATGGATGAAACTTTGAGTTCCATCCTCACTGCCACAGGGTTTAAGCTTTCTTTTATTCCTGTAGGTGTCTATTGATGGAAGTGAAAGTGTAACAGGTACTGGAATGATTGGAGAAAATGAACAAGAGAAAAAAATGCAGGTATGTAAAGCTGGAGGATTTTTGTTCTTTGAGGGTTTTTCATTTTGTTTTATTATGAGGGTCTTTTTAAAATTTTTTTTATTATTATAGAGGTAATTTACACAGAGGTTACAGTTACATAAGTCAGTTAATTAGTACATTTATTTTTTGGACAGTGTAACCCCTTGTCTTGCTCTCTTCTAGTTCATATAAGGATCTTTGAATAAATCCAGGCTGACCTTGACCTCACAGTCCTCCTATCTCAGCCTCCCACATGCTAGAGGTATACTTGGAGTCATCATTGTGCCCAGTTTATGAGACTTTTTTTTTGTTTTTTGGTCGTGGAGCTTGAACTCTGGGCTTGGGTGCTGTCCCTCAGCTCTTCAGCTCAAAGTGAGCACTCTATTGAATCACAGTACCACTTCCAGTTTTCTGGTGGTTTATTGGAGATAAGAGTCTCAGGGACTAGCCGGGCACTGGTGGCTCACGCCTGTAATCCTAGCTACTCAGGAGGCTGAGATCTGAGGATCGAGGTTCAAAGCCAGCCCGGGCAGGAGAGACCGTGAGACTCCGATCTCCAATAAACCACCAGAAAACCGGAAGTGGCGCTGTAGCTCAAGTGGTAGAGCGTTCTCCTTGAGCTGAAGAGCTGAGGGACAATGCCCAGGCCCAGAGTTCAAGCCCCACGACCGACTAAAAATAAAAATAAGAGTTTCAGGGACTTTCCTGCCTGGGCTGGCTTTGAACTATGATCCTCAGATCTCAGCCTCCTGAGTAGCTAGGATTCCAGGCGTGAGCCACCAGTGCCGGGCATGAGACTTTCTTTTGCCAGTCCTGGGGCTTGAACTCAGAGCCTTTATTGCCTAAGGCTAGTGCTTAACTTCATCCAGATTTTTGCTGGTTATTGAAAATAAGAATCTCTGGGGCTGGAAAGGTGGCTCAGTGGTAGAGTGCTTGCCTTGCATGCCGGAGGCCCTGGGTTCAATTCCTCAGCACCACATAAACAAAAAAAGAAAAAAAGCCGGAAGTGGCTCTGTGGCTCAAGGGGTAGAGCGCTAGCCTTGAGCTGAAGAGCTGAGGGACAGCGCCCAGGCCCTGAGTTCAGGCCCCACGACCGGACCCCCCAAAAAAAAAAAGAATCTCCTGTTTGGGCTAGTTTCAAGCTACAGTCCTCAGATTCTCAGCCTCCTGAATAGCTAGGATTGCACGTGTGAGAAATTTTTCCTACATATATAAATTACTTCAAAATACACAGATTTGTATACATCAGATAATGGAGGTTGTATCTACCATGTGTCATTATAGTAAGTGGAATTGGACATACTTAGCTAGATAACAAAATGTAGTAGTTACCCTCAACCCCACTGGTCTCTCACTCAGTGATCCTTGGAGCTCTGCCAGTTAGCTACCACTGGCCTGCAACAACCTGAGGCTTGGTTGGCTGACAACTTGAACTCTAGGTCCAGTTTGTTCAAATTTCACTTCCTAGCTTTTGACTGTGACCAAGTTATACTTAACCACCATGAGTCTCATTTTTCATATTTGTAAATCATTGATATAAGGGACAGATTATACCTTTTATATAAAATATTCATCACAGGACATCATGTAAGTACAACTCCTCAATAAAGGTTGGTTAACCTTTTTTATTATTGAGGTGGCCTTGAAATTTAATCTTAGATTCTGTACAATGTTCACCCCTGGGATTTGCAACTCCTTAAATGCAGTGGTCTATAATGACTACTAGAATTTATACTTCCAGAAATATACTTAGGTCATTTTCTTTTCTTTTCTTTTCTTTTTTTTTTTTTTGGGGGTCGGGTCATGGGGCCTAAACTCAGGCCTGGGCACTGTCCCTTAGCTCTTCAGCTCAAGGCTAGCGCTCTACCACTTGAGCCACAGCACCACTTCCGGCTTTTTTCTTATGTGGTACTGAGGAATCGAACCCAGGGCCTCATGCATGCAAGGCAAGCACTCTACCACTGAGCCACCTTCCCAGCCCCACTTAGGTCATTTTCTTGTATAATGACTTTCTTTTTTTTTTTTTTTTTTTTTTAATTTTTATTTATTTTTTATTGTGAAAATACTGTACAGAGGGGTTACAATTACATGGGCAAGATAATGAGTACATTTCTTATCAAGCATTGTAGCCTCCTCCTTTGTTTCCCCTTCCCATCCCTTCCCATCCACCCCCCCAATCCTCCCCACTCCCCCCCACCAAAGTTGTAAAGTTCGTTTTCGACTTGTACGTCTCATTGTTGCAAAGGGTCTTTTTTTTTTTTGTCAGTCAAGGAGCCTGAAATCTGGTCCTGGGCACTGTCCCAAAGCTCTTCAGCTCAAGGCTAGCGCTCTACCACTTGAGCCACAGTGCCAGTTCCAGCTTTTTCTGTTTATGTGGTGCTGAAGAATTGAACCCACGGCCTCATGCATATGAGGCAGACACTCTACTATTGAGCTACCTTCCCAGCCCTATAATGATTTTCTATGTCTTTTGGGAGAGCTATGGCTTTTTCTGAGTTCTCTCAAGGAATGACAGGCCTCTTGAGTTCCTACAACTGCATGGGCCAATAGCAGTGATTTCTTTATCCATTTTATATAGTAGAATGATATGTAATATTTTCTTTGCTGTGGTAGTTTGACTCCTTCCAAAAGAAAAATCACCACTGATTTAGTGCAATATATTCTTTTACTGGCAGGCAAATAGGCCCTGTGGGATTTGAAAAAATCAACAACGAATTTATAGCAGAGAAGTTATTAGAATTCTCAGAATACACATTAAACATAAATAACCATGAAGTCATTTTCTGAGCTGGAAGTGATGCTGTGGTTCAAGTGGTAGAGTGCTAACCATGAGCAAAAGAAGCTCAGGGACAATGCTCAGGCCTGAGTTCAAGCCCCAGGACTGGCAAAAATAAATAAACCGGGTGCCAGTGGTTCATATCTATAATCCTAGCTACACAGGAGGGGCTGAGATCTGACAATCCCAGTTCAAAGCCAGGATGGACTCTTATCTCTAACTCACCACCATAAAAAGAAAAAAAAAAAGCCAAAAATGGAGCCCTGAATGCTTTTTTGGAGCACAGAAGCTCAAGGACAGCATCCAGGAACACAAAGGAACAAAGAATGAAACTTGTTAAAAGTTTATTTAAAGTGTAGAAGCTAGGAGGTGACAAGAAAGAGCTAAAGAGATGGAGTAATTTTGATCAAAGTAAATATATACATGTATAGGAATATCACAATGAAACCAAAGCTCCAGAAGAATAATTTTTGATGTGTGACAGTCTGCATAGCAGGTTATTACAGCACTATTACCAAAAAGCCTAAAGAGTCAGTTGACACACCAAGGCTTGAAGCCACCTTAGGCCAAAAAGCCCACAAGATTCCATTCTCAATTAACCAGCAAAATAAAAGCTAGACTGGAAACCTTGCTCAAGTAGTAGAGTTTCAGTTGTGACCAAAAAAGAAAAGTAAGAACATGAGACCTTGAACTCAAGATCTAGTATCAAGCCAGGCGTCGGTGGCTCACGCTTGTTATCCTAGCTACTCAGGAGGCTGAGATCTGAGGATTGCGGTTCAAAGCCAGCCCGGGCAGGAAACTCCATGAAACTTATCTCCAATAAACCACCAGAAAACCTGAAGTAGCGCTGTGGCTCAAGTGGTAAAGCCCTTGCCTTGAGCTGAAGAGTTGAGGGGCAGCACCCAGGCCCAGAGTTCAAGCCACACAACCTACAAAAAAAAAAAAAAAATCTAGTACCAGCAAAAATAACATATATAAAATAATAAAGAGGGGCTGGGAATATGGCTTAGCAGTAGATTGCTTGCCTAGCATGCATGAAGCCCTGAGTTCGATTCCTCAGTACCACATAAACAGAAAAAGCCAAAAGTGATGCTGTGGCTCAAATGGTAGAGTGCTAGCCTTGAGCAAAAGAAGCTCAGGGATAGTGCCCAGGCCCTGAGTTCAAGCCCCAGGACTTGCAAAATAATAATAATAATAAAACCATGGGGGAGGGCTGGGAACGTGACCTAGTGGTAGAGTGCTTGCCTAGCATGCATGAAGCCCTGGGTTCGATACCTCAGTGCCATGTGAACAGAAAAAGCTGGAAATGGCACTGTGGCTCATATGGTAGAGTGCTAGACTTGAGCAAATGAAGCTCAGGAACAGTGCCCAGCCCTGAGTTCCAGCCCTAGTAATGGCAAAAAACAAAAACCAACAAATAAAACCACAGGGCGCCGTTGGCTCATGCTTATAATCCTAGCTACTCAGGAGGCTGAGGTCAGGATCATGGTTCGAAGCCAGCCCAGGCAGGAAAGTCTATGAGGCTCTTGTCTGATTAAATACCAAAAACAGCTGGAAATAGGGCTGTAGCTCAAGTAGAAGAGCGTTAGTTTTGAGTTAAAAAGCTGAGAGATAACACCCAGGCCCTGATGCAAGCCCTAGAGCTGGCACATAAAACAAAAAGAGAAGAAAACCATTATTTAACTTTTATGATATCACAATTTTTTAAATAGATGGTCATCTTTAAAAAGTATTTAAAATCAGGGGCTGGGAAGGTGGCTCAGTGGTAGAGCGCTTGCCTTGCATGCCTGAGGCCCTGGGCTCGATTCCTCAGCACCACGTAAGCAAAAAGAAAAAAGCCGGAAGTGGCGCTGTGGCTCAAGTGGCAGAGCGCTAGCCTTGAGCTGAAGAGCTGAGGGACAGCGCCCAGGCCCAGAGTTCAGGCCCCACGACCCGACCCCCCCCCCCAAAAAAAATTCAAAGAATAGCACTGATTTTAAATACTTTTTTTTTTTTTTTTTTTGGGGGTCCGGTCGTGGGGCTTGAACTCTGGGCCTGGGCGCTGTCCCTCAGCTCTTCAGCTCAAGGCTAGCGCTCTACCACTTGAGCCACAGCGCCACTTCCAGCTTTTTTCTTTTTGCTTACGTGGTGCTGAGGAATCGAACTCAGGTACTCAGGCATGCAAGGCAAGCACTCTACCACTGAGCCACCTTCCCAGCCCCTATTCTTTGAATTCTTATGGTATTATTGTCCAGGAAAAAATATATATACAAGTTTAGACTGGAATCTCTAACGTTTTTTACGGCTGACTTAAAGATTTTATGTTCATTACTTCTGAAATTTAAAATGCCTCTACATTGTTTTTAGTATTCAAGTCTTAAAAAACAAAAAAGCACAGTGGCTGGGAATGTGGCTTAGTGGTAGAGTGCTTGCCTAGCATGCATAAAGCCCTGGGTTTGATTCCTCAGTACTACTTAAAGAGAAAAAACTGGAAGTGGCAACTGTGGCTCAAGTGGTAGTGCTAGCCTTGAGCAAAAGCAAAAAAAATTCAGTGCCCAGGCCCTGAGTTCAAGCACCAACACTGGCAAAAACAAACAAACAAACAAAAAAAAGTACGGTTATAGATACTCCTTGAGTATGTCTAGGAATATCTGCATACAATAGATGTTTTCTAAAAGAATGGAAATGGATTTGTAAGCTTCAGCTATGCATTCCTTTGGCTCCCAGAAGTGTTGATGAATATTCTAAAGGGGCTGACTTCAGCCATGCAATAGGAGGAACCTGATTTAGCATTATAGACTTCCAGTGATGACCCAAGTCTAGAACTCAAATTACAGTTTTATCTATTTTTTTAATTTCCATCTAATTTTAAACTTCATACTTATTTCTTTTTTTAGATTGTCTTACAAGGGCATGCAACAAGAGTAACTGCTAAACCTCAACAAAGTGGAGAAAAGGCATTTCGATGTCAATACGAGGGGTGTGGAAAATTATACACAACAGCTCATCATCTTAAGGTACATGCAAGAGAAATATTGTATCTAGTTATGAGAATACCCGTACAGTAAGTACAACATGGTATGCTTTTTTTGTTTTTATTGCCAGTCCTTGAGCTTCTTTTTGCTCAAGGCTAGCACTCTACTATTTTAAGCCCAAGGGCCACCTCCTGTTTTCTGTTGATTAATTGGAGATAAGAGTCTCAGGGGCTGGGTTCCATGGCTCACACCTGTGAGCCAGCCCAGGCAGTAAAGTCCATGAGACTCTTATCTCCAGTTAACTACCAGAAAACCAGAAGTGGCGCTGTGACTCAAGTAGTAGAGCATTTGCCTTGAGCTGAAAGGCTGAGGGACAGTTCTCTGGCCCAGAGTTCAAGCCCCATTACTGACAACAAAAAAAGAAAAAGAAGAGTCTTGGACTTTTTTGCCCAGCCTAGCTCTGAACTGTGATCCTCAGATTCCAACCTCCTGAGTAGCTAGGATTATAGACGAGAGCCAGCAGCACCCAGCTTCAGAAGTATTTTTAATTTTTGTGTTAACAGTAATTCTCTGGAATCTAGCAAAAGTTGGTGTTATGCTTAGTATGCACAAAGTCCGAGGTTCAGTTCCTCGGCATTGGAAAATTGTTGCATTCCAAGTATTTAGGCCAAATATTTTAATTTTAATTAGAATAGAAAGCAATCGAGTAAACTGACTCTCCGTGTTAATATTTATTGAACAATTTATAATGTATCAGGAAGTGTAAATTTAGCATCTTTGTAGTAGTGGCCTGAGAGCCTATCTCCCTTAGATGTCAGTGTGTGATTTGGGTATGTTTACTAGCCTTTTGATACCTCCTTTTTTCCATCTACAAAATTAAATCCCTATAGAATGGTTGTGAGAATTAAACAAGTTAATACAGTTCATGTAAGGCACTAAACAGAGTGAAATGACATGCATGAAATGTTCAGTGTTTGTTGGTTACTCTCAAGATTACTCATTTTAGCTTGGCACTGGTGGCTCATACCTGTAATCCTAGGTACTCAGGAGGCTGAAATCTGAGGATCACATTTCAAAGCCAGTCTGGGCAGGAAAGTCTGTGAGACTCTTTTTTTTGTTGTTGTTGTTGTCGTGGGGCTTGAACTCTGGGCCTGAGCACTGTCCTCCAGCTCTTCAGCTCAAGGCAAGTGCTCTACCACTTGGGGGCCACTTCTGGTTTTCTGGTGGTTTATTGGGGATAAGAGTTTCAGAGACTTTCCTGCCTGGGCTGGCTTTGAACCACGATCCTCAGATCTCAGCCTTCTGAATAGCTAAGATTACAGACGTGAGTCACTGGCACCCGGCTTTTCTGTGAGACTTTTTTTTTTTTGTCGGTCGTGGGCCTTGAACTCTGGGCCTGAGCGCTGTCCCTCAGCTCTTCAGCTCAAGGCTAGTGCTCTACCACTTGAGCTACAGTGCCACTTCCGGTTTTCTGGTGGTTTATTGGCGATAAGAGTTTCACGGAGTTTCCTGCCCGGGCTGGCTTTGAACCGTAATCCTTAGATGTCAGCCACCTGAGTAGCTAGGATTATAGGCATGAGCCACTGGTACCTGGCTTCTGTGAGACTCTTTATCACCAATAAACCACACCACCAGAAAATCGGAAGTAGTGCTGTGGCTCAAGTGATAAGAGTGCTTGCCTTGAGCTGAAGAGTGCTGGGGCAGTTCCCAGACTCAGAGTTCAAGCTCCATGACTGAAGGAAGGAAGGAAGGGAGGGAGAGAGGGAGGGACTGCACCACTAGGCAGTGGTGGAGTCTTGTTTCAGATGGAGGTCCCTGCTTCATTCTCTACACTTTTAACTTACTTTGGGTACTAACTATCTTCCTGCACTCTGTTACTAGTTCTCTAGTTTATTGTACTTTTGGACACTCTGGAAATACTGAAATTTCAATGTTCCCTTACCTTATTTAAAAGGAGTCAAAGGAGTCCCCTTTAATATATACCATTTAGGCCTATATTGAGCTATAGTTTTGTGAAAAAGTTGTCTTTTGTTGTTGTTTTATTTATTTTTGTGCTGTTTCTGGGCCTCCCACTTCCACTCAGTTCTTTTGCTCATGGCTGGTGCTCTACTACTTGAGCTACACCTCCACTTCTAGCTTTCTGCTGGTTAATTAGAAATGAAAGTTTCTTGGTTTTGTCTGGCAGGGCTGCTCTGAACTTTATTGTTTGTTTTGTTTTGTTTTTGTGCCTGTCCTGGGACTTAAACTCAGTGCCTGATTGCTGTCCTTAAGCTTTTTTGTCCAAGGCTAGTGCTCTATCTCTTGAGTCATAGCTCTACCTCCGAATTTTTGTAATTGGACATCAGAGTCTTATGGAATTTCCTGCCCTAGCTGGCTTTTGAACCATGACCCTAAGATTTCAGCCTCCTGAAGTTTAATTAGGGCCATGAGCCACCAGCTCTTGGCTGGCTTTGAACTTTGATCCTCAGTACTCTGCCTCCTCCTCAGTACCTAGGATAGGCACAGGCGTGAGCCACTGGTGCTTGGCTGTCTTAAAAAAAAAAAATGTACTAAGCCAACCACTGATTATGCATGCCTATAATCCTAGCTACTCTAGAAGCTGAGATCTAGAGGATCAAAATTGGAAGGCAGGTTGGGCTCAGCTATTTACCAGATTTCATCTCCAAAATAACCAGCAAAAGGAAAGGTTGGAGGCATGGCTCAAGTTGTAGAACACTGCCAAGTGAGTATAAGGCCCTGAGTTCAAACCCTGATACTGGCAAAAACAAAAGCAAAAACCCAAGTCATCAGTGAGAGAAAAAAGTAGTCCTATGTTGAGATCATCTTAATCTAAGAATGTATCAAGAAAATATAATTGTGCTTATATTTTAATAACAGGTCCATGAGAGGTCACACACAGGAGACCGGCCTTATCAGTGTGAGCATGCAGGCTGTGGGAAAGCATTTGCAACAGGTAAAAACATAAATTTTTGTTTATTGGTTCTAAAGGAGAATTGAGCATACAGGCTAGAGGCAGGAACTCTCGTGTCTACAGAAGCATGTGAGGTTTTTAGCTTCTCTCAAGGCTGGCACTCTACCATTTGAACCTCATCTCCACTTCACAACCTACTTTAAAAAAAAAAAAAAAGCAGGAAAAATAAAACCAAGTTTTAGAAGGTGACCTTTCAGTTTAATTAATACAGGCACCTTGAGTATGGAGAAATTGGGACTTAGTTGGCCAGGGCCACTCTCGGGACTCATGTGGCGGAGCTTAGACTTGATTAAGCCTCCTGCCTTCCATTTCTCATTTTTATCTTAATTCTACTTTAAGCTTTGGGAGTATGAGTTATGAATAACATTGGATAAAATTAGGGCATTTTAAAAAGGATGAGTCAGCTGGGTGATGGTGACTCATGCCCATAATTCTTTCTACTCAAGAGGCTGAGATCTGTGGATTGTGATTCACAGCCACAATTAACCAATTAACCTCCAAAAAGCCAAAGTAGAAATGTAACTCAAGTGGTATAATGCTAGCTTTGAGCTGAAAAAGCTCAGGGACAGTACAAGGCCCTGGGTTCAAGACCCCCAGGACTGACACACACAAAAAAGTGGGAGGAGCTGGTGTCTCACATCTGTAATCCTAGTTATTCAGGAGGCTGAGATCTGAGGATTACAGTTCAAAGCCCATCAGTCTGGGCAGGAAAAGTCCATGAGACTATTTATCTCCAATTAACACCAGAAAACCGGAAGTGGCCAACAAAAAAAGAAAAGAAAGGGCTAGGTGCTGGTGGCTCACACATATAATCTTTGCTATGTAGGAGGGTGAGATCTGATGATCAAGGTTTGAAGCCAGCCAGCCAGGAAAATCTTTGAGACTTTTTTTTTTTAACCAGTCCTGGGGCTTGAACTCAGGGCCTGAGTTTCTTTTTGTTCAAGGCTAGCACTCTACCACTTGAGCCACAACACCACTTCTGGCTTTTTCCATTTATGTGTTACTGAGGAATCACATCTAGGGCTTCATGTATGCTAGGCAAGCACTGCCACTAAGCCACATTCCCAGCCCTGTGAGATTTATCTACAGTTAATCATAGAAAAAGCTGGAAGTAAAGTTGTGCCTCAAGTGATAGAGTGCTAGCTTTGAGCAAAAATAATACCCAGGGGGCTGGGAAGGTGGCTCAGTGGTAGAGTGCTTGCCTTGCATGCATGAGGCCCTGGGTTCAATTCCTCAGCACCACATAAGCAAAAAAGCTGGAAGTGGCGCTGTGGCTCCAGTGGTAGAGTGCTAGCCTTGAGCTGAAGAGCTGAGGGACAGTGCCCAGGCCCAGAGTTCAGGCCCCATGACTGGCGGAAAAAAAAAATAATAATAATAATACCCAGGCCCCTAGTTTAAGCCCCAGGACTGGCAAAAATTAAAAGGAAAAAGGAAGAGATCACATCATTTTCTAAACAAAGATAAAGTATTGAATTTTTGGCATGACAGGCCTGAGCTATCAATATTTTCTCATGCATTTTTAGTAGTTTTTCCACTGAATTTGCCCAGTATTTTGCCCTTATTATTTAACACACACACACATACACACACACACACACACACACGTATGCATGCACATGTGCACATGTCTATAATTCTAGCTACTCAGAAAGCTGAGATCAGGGGATCAAGGTTCAAAGCCAACCTTTTTTTGAACCTTTTTTTCTTTTTCTTTCTTCTTCTTTTTTTTTTTTTTGCCAGTCCTGGGCTTGAACTTAGGGCCTGGGCTCTGTCCCTCAGCCTCTCGGTGCTCAAGGCTATCACTCTACCACTTGAGCCACAGTGCCTCTTCTGGTCTTTACTGTTTATGTGGTGTTGAGGAATGTTAAACCCAGGGCTTCATGCATGCTAGGCAAGCACTCTACCACTAAGCCACATGCCCAGCCTCCACAAGACGCTTATCTCCAATTAACCATCAGAAAACAGGCAGTGGTTCTGTGGCTCAAAGTGGGAGACTAGTAGCCTTGAGCAGAAAAACTCAGGAACAATTCCAAGCCTTGAGTTCAAGTACCATGGCCAACACAAAAAAAAAAGGTCTCGGATTTGTCTGTCCAGACTGACTCTGAACAGCACTTTTTCATATCTCAGCCTCTTGAGAAGATAGGATCATAAGTGCCCAGCTTTGCTATATTTTTAATTGCTTTATCCCAATGTGCTTGTTTAGAGAAGTATTAATTTTTTGGAATTTCCCTTAAAGGTTATGGATTAAAAAGTCATTTTAGAACTCATACTGGAGAAAAGCCATATCGATGTTCAGAAGATAATTGTACTAAATCTTTCAAAACTTCAGGAGATCTACAGAAACATATCAGAACCCATACAGGTACTGATGAGAATAGAATATCATATATAGCCATTTTATGTGTGTCTGTTGGGTATGTGGGGGTATGTATATTTGTGTGTGTGTTGAAGGGGGCTTCTCCCTAGAAGTTGTTTAATTTGAGCACAAAGATCTCATAGGCAAAGGCCACTTCTTGCCTAACAGTTAAAAGCCTTTAGGTTCCAAGGTTATACAAAGCAAATATGAAAAGAAGTAGTATAATTGGCAGATTAATGTTTTCATAAATTTATATGTGAAAATAGTAACATGTTCAGCATAATGTATATTCTGTCAAGGCAACAGATTATAAAAAGACTAAAATTATATTTCTTTTCAATAATATAGAATAAATAAACTTTTAGGATATCCTGGAGTTTTTCTTAATCCTTATTCTTTCTTTTGTTTCTTTCTCTGTTTTTTTCTGCTCAATTTATGCCTATCTAGATGATTCTATCTTGGAAAGTCATGTAGTCACTGATGGGTTTTGACTGCTATTGAGATTTCCTTATGAAAATTTAAGTTTGTAGTAGAAGATGCCTTTTCCAAGAAAAGGAGAAATGCCCGAAAGGCAACCTCAGCACAAAAATGGTAGTTTTGAGTATGATCCTAGACAGAACTGAAGGATAAGACCTTCCAATCTTCTATATGTTTTTGTACCATTTAATTTATTCCATTTTATATTTTCAGGAGAAAGGCCCTTTAAGTGTCCCATTGAAGGCTGTGGTCGGTCCTTTACAACATCAAATATCAGGAAAGTGCACATTAGGACACACACAGGAGAAAGACCCTATTACTGCACAGAACCAGGATGTGGAAGGGCATTTGCCAGTGCAACCAATTATAAAAACCATGTGCGGATACACACAGGTAACTGTCACACATCGCTTCATCTTGTTTCAGTTTGACTCCTGCCATGGTTTTTTCCAGAAACCGTTTCCAGCTAATCTCTTCCCTCCTTCCTAAAACATGATATGTTGGAAAGGGGTTAAGCATTTTTAAAGTTTTTCAGTTAAAAAATACTGTTTAGCCAGGCGCTGGTGGCTCACGCCTAGCTACTCAGGAGGCTGAGATCTGAGGATCCTGGTTCAAAGCCAGCTCGTGCAGGAAAGTCCATGAAACTTATCTCCAGTTAACCACCAGAAAACCAGAAGTGGCACTGTGGCTCAAGTGATAGAGCGCAAGCCTTGAGTTAAAGAGCTGAGGGACAATGCCCAAGCCTGGAGTTCCAGACACATGACTAACAAAAAAAAAAAGTACTATTTAACATTCAGATGTGTATCTGTTAATCATTGAGCATCTTTTATGGGCTTAACTGCCAGAGACTAGAGATGCAGATGCAGAGGCTATTTATTTAGGGAAATAAAGTATGCATGGACTTGCTGATTATAGTCTCCTAATATGTGAACACAATGCTATGGCAAAGTCAGGCTTAGTGTAGTGGGTTTCTTTGTTTATGCTTAGAAACTGAGTATCGCTGTGTAGCAAAGATAGCAGCAAGCTCAAAATTCTCCCGAATGCTGGGATTACAGGCCTGTACCACCATGCCTGGCAGCTTTTTGAGGTTCAACCATGGCATAGCTCCTTTCCCCTCCCCTCCCCTCCTTTTTCACCTTCACCTCTCTCCTTCCCTTTCTCTTCCATTCCCTCCTTTTCCCCTCCCCTTCTTTCTTTTCTCCTTTCCTTTCCTCTCTATCTCTTTTTCTGTTGCTTTTTTTTTTTTTTTTGGTCAGCCATGAGGCTTGAACTCAGCCTGGACGCTGTCCCTCAGCTCTTCAGCTCAAGGCTAGCACTCTACCACTTGAGCCACAGCGCCACTTCCAGTTTTCTGGTTTTTTATTGGAAATAAGAGTCTTGGGCTTGGAAGGTGGCTCAGTGGTAGAGTGCTTGCCTTGCATGCATGAGGCCCTGGGTTCGAGTCTTCAGCACCACATAAGCAGAAAAAGCCAGAAGTGGTGCTGTGGCTCTAGTGGTAGAGCGCTAGCCATGAGCTGAAGAGCTGAGGGACAGCGCCCAGGCCCAGAGTTCAGGCCCCACGACCAACAACAACAACAACAAAAAAAGAGTCTCACAGGCCGGGCACCGGTGGCTCACGCCTATAATCCTAGCTACTCAGGAGGCTAAGATCTGAGGATCATGATTCAAAGCCAGCCCAGGCAGGAAAGTCTGTGAGACTCTTATCTCCAATAAACCACTAGAAAACTGGAAGTGGCGCCGTGGCTCAAGCGGTAGAGCACTCGCCTTTGAGCTGAAGAGCACAGGGACAGCGCCCAAGCCCAGAGTTCAAGCCCCACGACTGACCAAAAAATAAAAAAAGAGTCTCTGGGCCTGGCTTACTTCACTTATTCTGGCTTTTTTGTTGGCTGATCAGGAATAAAAATGTCACAGACTTTCCTGCCTCTGCAGGCTTTGAACTTCAGTCCTGGATCTCAGCTTCCTGAGTAGTTAGGATTACATATGTGGACCACTAGCACTCAATTTAGATGGAGGTTTGTTGGGGTTTTTTCGTCCTGGGGCTTCAACGCTGGGCTTGGGTACTATTCTTGAGCTCTTCAACACAAGTCTAGTGCTCTACCACTTTGAGCCACAGCTCCATTTCTGGTTTTCTGGTGGTTAACTGGAGATAAGGGTCTCATGGACTTTCCAGCTCTAGCCAACTTTAACCAGATCCTATTCAGCCTCCTGAGTAGGATTACAGACATGAGCCACTGGCACCTGGCTTTTTTTTTTTTTTTTTTGGTCCAGTCATGGTGCCTGAACTCTGGGCCTGGGCACTGTCCCTCAGCTCTTCAGCTCAAGACTAGCGATCTACCACTTGAGCCACAGCGCCACTTCCGGCTTTTTTTCTTTTTGCTTATGTGGTGCTGAGGAATCGAACCCAGGGCCTCATGCATGCAAGGCAAGCGCTCTACTACTGAGCCACCTTCCCAGCCCCCTTTTTTTTTTTTTTAGGAGGCTGGGAAAGTGGCTCAATAGAAGAGCGCTTGCCTTGCGGGCATGAGGCCCTGGGTTCAATTCCTCAGCACCACATAAGCAGAAAAAGCCGGAAGTGGTGCTGTGGCTCAAGTGGTAGAGCGCTAGCCTTGAGCTGAAGAGCTGAGGGACAGCGCCCAGGCCCAGAGTTCAGACCCCACGACCAGACCCTCCCCCCTCCCAAAAAAAAAAAAACTTTGGAAGTGGTACTGTGGTTCAAGTGGTAGAGTGCTAGCCTGAGCTGAAGAGCTAAGGGACGGGCCCAGGCCCACAGTTTAAGCTCCATGACCCAAAAAAAAAAGAATTAAAACTTTTACTTCCCTTTACAATGTGCTTGCTGTTAGTAAATACTGAGTAAGGGGTGTGTGTGTGTGTGTGTTTGTGTGTGTTTGTGTGTGTGTGTGTGTGTTGGTACTGGAACTTAGACTCAGGTTCTTGAGCTCTCACTTGGCTTTCTTGCTCTCATCTGGTTTTCTACCACTTGAGCTACACCTCCAGTCCCTGAATAGCTTTTCTTTTCCTTTAGACCAGTCCTGATGCTCGAACTCAAAGTGCTTTCCTTCAGCTTTCTCTCTCACTTGAGACACAACTCCATATCTGGCTTTTTGTGGCTAATTGGAGATAAGAGTCTCACAAACTTTCCTGCTCAGGCTAGCTTTGAACTTTCATCCTAAGCTCTTAACCTGCAGAGTAGCTAGGATTATAGGCATTGACCACTGGTGCCTGGTCCTGAATAGCATTTGATTGGCAATAACAAGTCATATTATATGGCTGGGGACATGGCTCAGCATTAGAGCTTCTGCCGATTGAATACTCTCCCCAAGTATTTGGGGAGGGTATCAAATGAAGGGACAGAAAACAGTAGCTCAAGTGGTAGAGCACATGACTAACAAATTGAAGCCCTGAATTCAGTCTCTAGAACTGAGAAGAAAAAGTCGGATGAACTTAAATGAAACATGTATGCCCTTTTAGACACTGACACGTCTAAATATGTTCAATAGACATTTTAGAAAATTCCTTTTCATTATCTTTAGAAAATTGTTAGGGTAAGCTGTATTGGTTATAGTAATACTTACACTTATTATTGTTAATATTAAAATAATGCTATTAATGATATCTATATTACTTATAGGAAGCAATCAATTTCATCAAAATTTCATTAAAATTCGACTGGGCAATAACTCCATCCTTACTTTTCTCAAACCAAGTTCTTAATTTCTCTTGAAATTAAGGGAAAAGAAAGATTTATGCCCAGGCCATTAATTCTCTCAGGATGCAGACTGCCTTCTGAGCCAAGTCAAAATCCATAACCACAATAAAGAGAATTTTTTGTTTTGGTATTCTTTTCTTATATGGTTTTATTGTAGAATGAGAAGGGATTTGGGATTTTTCTTCCCTCCCCCCATCCCTCAATGCTGGGGATTGAACTTGGCCTTCCACATAAACTAGGCAAGTGCTGTTACACCTCAAGCCAGATTGGTCAACTAGTATTTTTAGCTGTCCCAACGCCTCTCAGGTATAACTATCTGCCTATGTAGAAGGTGACTTTTTTATATGTTCTTTACCTAGGAGAAAAGCCATATGTTTGTACAGTTCCTGGGTGTGACAAAAGGTTTACAGAATATTCCAGTTTGTATAAACACCATGTTGTTCACACTCACTCCAAACCATACAACTGTAACCACTGTGGGAAGACATACAAACAGATCTCCACGCTGGCCATGCACAAACGGACAGCCCACAATGACACAGAGCCCATCGAGGAGGAGCAGGAAGCCTTCTTTGAGCCTCCTCCAGGTAAGTTTTGTCCATTCTGTCTGTTCCCGAGTGGGAATCTTAACAGCTAGGCATATAACTTATTATCTATGGTAGTTTTCCAAATCATGAAACTTTGTTCATATAATCACACAAACATAATTTACAAGTAGCATATCAGAGTAAGATACTGGTACTCCAGGTAGTTATAAGTGGGAAATGGTTTTCCTGTAAAACCATTTTTGGAGAGATGAAAATGAATTTTGTTAACTAGGTGAGGAAAATTGGTTTGGGGAAGGGCAGCAGAGGTAAGGGCAAGAAAACTGCCATGTAGAGGGACTGGCATATTCAACAGGCCTACAAGCTGGGAAAGGAAAATAATTTGGAGATAGTGAAAGAAGCCTAAAGGATGAGACTGGAGTAGTTAATTTAGGTTCATTAATGATGCTGGTCTTAATTAAAGAGCAGAGAAGTGCTCCAAATAATCCTTCATTGATTCAAATGCTCTTAGGAATAAGAGACAATTCATTATTTCCTCAATGCAGTAAGAAGATAGTATGGGGGCTTGAACTTAGGCCCTTGAGCTTGCTAAACTTTCTTGCTCAGGACTAGGTATTTTGCTGTTTGAGCCATGCCTCCGATTAAGCATTTTGCTGGTTAATTGGAGATAAAGTCTTACAAACTTTTCAGCCCAGGCTAGCTTCAAACTGAGAACCTCAACCTCCTGAGTAGCTGGGATTATAGGCATGAGAGACAACACCTGGCTATCTTACCTTCCCACCTTCCCTCTCTGTCTCTCTGTCCTCTTTCTCTCTGTGTCTGTCTCTCTATCATTTTTCTCTCTGTCTGTTTGTCCCTGTCTCTCTCTGTCTCTCTCTGCCTCTCTGTCTGTCTGTCTGTCTCTCTCTCTTGTGTCTATCCTGAGTCTGGAATTCAGGGGTTGGGCACTGTACTTGAGCTCTTATGCTCAAGGCTAGCACTCTTATTACTTGAACCATAACTCTATTTCCAACTTTTTGGTGGTTAATTGGAGATAAGAGTTTCATGGACTTTTCTGTCCAGGGTAGCTTTGAACTGCAATCCTCAGATCTCAGCCACCTGAGTAGCTAGCTAGGATTACAAGCATGAGCGATTGGCTCCTCACTCTTTTCTCATTTTTAACAACTAATTGAAATATTCAAAAATATTTAGGTAAAAAGTTGGTTGAAGAATAAAGAATTGGGGGCTGGGAAGGTGGCTCAGTGGTAGAGCGCTTGCCTTGCATGCCTGAGGCCCTGGGTTAAATTCCTCAGCACCACATAAGCAAAAAAAAAAAAAAAAGAATAAAGAACTATTCATCTGCTCAAAGATTATCTGTAGTCCTTTAATTTTTCCTTTTATATGATTGTCAGATGGTAGCATAAAAACAACAGTTCCTGTAGTCTTTTTCTTTTTGCTGGTTGTGGGGCCTGAACTCGGCCTGGGCACTGTCCCTCAGCTCTTCAGCTCAAGGCTAGCGCTCTACCACTTGAGCCACAGCACCACTTCCGGTTTTTTCTGCTTATGTGGTGCTGAGGAATTGAATCCAGGGCCTCATGCATGCAAGGCAAGCACTCTACCACTGAGCCACCTTCCCAGCCCCAGTTCCTATGGTCTTGAGTGCTAAATTATTTTCTAGCCAAAGTACTCCAAGTTAGATTTACACTGTGTGGGGAGATGTTGCTCAAAGGGTATGAAATTCTAGTTAGGCAGCAGGAGTAAATTCTGTAGCAGTTGTACATCATGATGACTACAATTAATGGTATACTTGGAAATTGTTCAAAGGAAAGAAGTAAATAAAATGATACTATAACTGCTAAATCTTTCTAGTTAGAAAGCTGACTTTAATTATATAAAATGTGGTTTATAAGGCTTTTTTTATTCTTTTCCTTACATATTGATAATTCAGATTATTAGGGGTTCTTGTTCCTTTGCCTATAATAACATTTAAAAAACTAAAACTACAATTGCTTTTCTAGTAGGAATAGATCTGTGTTCTTTTTCTCTTATATAACTCCTGAGTTTTCTAAGTCTTTGGAATAATAAAAAGTAAATAGCTGTGAAATAAAAAGGAGTAGAATAATGACCATCTGGAAATTACACTTTGATGACTGTAGTCAAATGAAAGTGTGCATCAACCACTGACTTTGGAAATGTTCTGAAATTAGTATAGTCCTTTTAATTGGGGAAGGAAAAAATTTCCTCTCTGGTGTCATGGATAGTGGAAAATATTGGAAGAGATGGATCTGTAATCTCATTGGTTGCCAAGAATAGCAGTAATGACTTGTAGAAGTTACTGTTTACTGATTCTTTGTGAGATAAAGAAGTGAGCCAGTATTCCTGTTTTGTCACTTATTAAATGATTAACTTCACTCCAGATATACAGCATTACATTGCTTTACACAATGATGTCATTGTGTGCTGATAACTTGTACCCTCTTGTGTTAAATGAGTTAGTAGATTTATTTACAAACCATTCTGGTTTTGTGGTTAATGTTTAGGAAGACTGCCTTATTCCCTTTATGGCATCTGAAGTTACTATAAGAATTTAGAAGATATTATCTTATATTGAGAGTTATTTCTGCCAGTCTTTCTATACAGTTCCTCTTCTCCTTATCCTCAACACATGTATACAAACAATATCATGTAATTATTCCAACCAAGAGAAAAATAAAAGCACTTAAATTTCATGGGAAAGGTTTGATTTGGACTGATTTGATTTGGTAATGTGGAGGTAGAAGAAGCCAATTTTCATGGTTTAGAATGTAATAATTTTAACTATATATATATATACATAATTTTAATATTTAAAATGTCTTCTGTTTTGTAAAGATTGGTTACTTGGTCACAAAAATCATTCATTTATTTTAAAACAGGTCAAGGTGAAGATGTTCTTAAAGGGTCCCAGATCACATATGTTACAGGCGTTGAAGGGGATGATGTTGTATCTACACAAGTAGCCACAGTAACTCAGTCTGGTTTGAGTCAGCAAGTTACACTCATATCCCAGGATGGGACTCAACATGTAAGTATCTACCAAAAACCAAACAAGTTAATACTTCTCTGTACTGGGGCTTGAAAGACAAGCTGGGTCTTGAATATCAAGACATAAAGTTGCTAGGCAGTGACAGGCACCCTAAAGGTTTCCTGTATTCTGTTGAAAAGATTATGTGAAGCAAGATTAATAGAGGAAAGGCTTGTACCTCTGTAAAATCCAAATGGTATTACTAGTATAGCACAGGTGAGGTAATGAGCCGGTGGCTCATGCTTGTAACATTAGCTACTCAGAAGGCTGAGAGCTGAGGATTGTTGATTCACAAAGCCAGCTGGCAGGAAAGTCGGTGAGACTCTTATCTCCAATAAATTACAGGGAAAAAGGGGGTGGGCAGAGCAGGGGGAGTGGAGCTGTGGCTCAAGTGGTAAAGCACTAGCTCTGAATAAAAGTTCGGGGACAGTATCCAAGGTGGGGGGAAAAGGTGAGGTGACTGAGTCAAGGCATGAAACACATCTCACAGAATGAGGGAGAATGAGGAAGCAGCAACACCATTGACTGAGGTGATGCGGATGTGATGGAAACATTTTTTAAAATGCTGGGAAATAAGTATCAGGCAAACCTCAAAATTTCCCATACTCTTTTTACTTAGGAGCCTTGGTATTTCATTCAACCTGCTTCACAGAGTTTATGAGTTTTTATTTCAGTTTTCCCCAAGAAAAGCTATTTTTGGATAGCTGTCATTATTTTCTAGGTGCCATTAGTCTACATTAATTCAGCTTTGATTTTCTTTTAAGCTTTAGCTAAAGGTGTTTTAGAATCTGGTAAAAATAGGTACATAGGGTATGATGTCCCTTTTTTCCTCTAGTTTGTATTTCTTTATCCTCAGAGCCTTTTTCCTTACCCATCTCACAGAGCTTTACATTATTTCACATTTAATTTGCCTTTGTTTCGATACCCGTTACCATTCTGGCATTAGCTCAGAAACTGCACATATTCTGGATTGAATAACACAAGGTATCCCTGCCATTGCATCACATCCATTCCACAGTGCCCACTTCAGTAGCACAGTTCTCAGCACAGTGCTCTCTTTCCACTGATTAATATACAAGATTGAACAGAATTACTTAATTCAAGTCAACCCTAACACTTTGTCTTTAATGAGATCACCACATACAGAGTTCCTCTGAGGTCATTTGATCTAATCTTTCTCCCTCCTTATTCAAGAGAAATCCTTTTTGTAGCAGCTCTGAAACCACCCCTACAGAGATACTCTGGATGGTTGGGCAGTTTCTCTAAAGAGGCAGCCTGTCCCATTGTTCAGCAACTCTAGTGTCATCCATTCATAGCTTAGTCTCTGACCATACAAAATGTAATTCCTATCCATGTATTTCAAAATAACTATCCTTCCTATACCAGTTCTCTCTATACCTAATTTTCCCATGTCTTTCGGAGATTTGAGAGATTAAGTCAGTCAAACATAGACATTTATTAATCATCTACCAGTACTAGGTACAGTACTAGAAGAACATGAAGAGAGGTTTCATAGTCTAGCAGGAGAAAGACATCTCTAAAGTGAAGGGTAATTCTTAGAAGAAATCCTAGAGGCCTTCCTAGAGAATGGTCATTCTCAGAGAGGTTTTAGAGGATTTTCTTGAGTTTACCAGGGAAAGAACGAAGGAAACAGCAAAGCCATGAAAATATAACAAAATGTGACACTGTGTGAACTGCAAACAGTCATGGCTGTCAGATGCAGATTTGAATATAGTAGAAGATGAATCTGGAGAATTTGTAGAAGCCAGATCATGAAAGGTCAGGAATGTCATGTAAGAAGTCTGAACTGTAGTTAAGGATAAGAATTTAAGTAGGGAGGCTGGGAAGGTGGCTCAGTGGTAGAGTGCTTGCCTTGCATGCATGAGGCCCTGGGTTCGATTCCTCAGCACCACATAAGCAAAAAGAAAAAAGCCGGAAGTGGCGCTGTGGCTCAAGTGGTAGAGCGCTAGCCTTGAGCTGAAGAGCTGAGGGACAGTGCCCAGGCCCAGAGTTCAGGCCCCACGACCAGACCCAAAAAAAAAAAAAAATAGGGAGCACGATGAGACTTGCTCTTCTTTGTTTTAGAAAAGTATCAAGGTATGGGCTTGGAATGTGGCTTAATGCTTGCTTAGCATGCATGAAGTCCTGTCCTGGGTTTGATTCCTCAGTACTGCATAAACAGAAAAAGCCAGAAGTGGCCCTGTGGCTCAAGTGGTAGAGAGCAAAAGAAACTCAGGGACAGTGCCCAGGCTTTGAGATCAAGCCCCAGGACTGGCCAAAAAAAAAAAGTAGCAAGGTATAGAGAGTAATGAGAGCAGGATTAGAGAGAAGTTGAATTATTATAGAAATTATTGCAGAAATAATCATCTAAATTAGCAATAGAGATAAAAAGGATTATATGAATTCAAGAAATCTGCATTTTGCTGAAAGTTTATTCCTTTGTAAAGGTATATTTGTTCCTACAAAGTAAACTTATGCAAGGATTAAGCTCAATCCTTACTTATGACAAATGCAGCAAGAAATATTGACTGACCAGTAAAATGAACTATTTTTTTTTTGCAGGTCAATATATCTCAGGCTGACATGCAGGCCATTGGCAACACCATCACAATGGTAACACAGGATGGCACGCCTATCACAGTGCCTACTCATGACGCAGTCATCTCCTCAGCAGGAACACACTCTGTTGCTATGGTCACTGCTGAGGGCACAGAAGGACAACAGGTAAATACTTTTGACTTTTATATCAAATAGTACATACATCAGTAGTAAAGCTATATTTAAGTACCCGTGGTCCACATGTGTAATCCTAGCTACTCAGGAAGCTGAGATCTGAGAACTGAGGTTTAAGGCCAGTTCCTCTAGAAGGAAAGTCCATGAGAATCTTTTTTCTTTTTTGGTTGGTCATGGGGCTTACACTCAGGGCCTGAGCGCTGTCCCTGAGCTCTTTTGCTCAAGGTTAATGCAGTAACACAGCGCCACTTCTGGTTTCTGGTGGTTAATTGAAAATAAGACTCTCATGTACTTTTCTGCTTCAGCTGGCTTTGAACCCCCCCATCCTCAGATCTCAGCCTCCTGAGTAGCTAGGATTATAGGTTTGAGCCACCAGTGCCCTGTGATTCATGGTTTGTTTTTGTTTTTGGCAGTCTTGGGCCTTGAACTTGGCCTTTACACTGTCCCAGAGCGTCTACCTCTGGAGCCATTCTATATTTTTCTGTTTATATGGTACTGAGGAATGGAACCCAGGGCTTCATGCATGCTAGGCAAGCACTCTATCTCTAAGCTCCCTTCCCCAGCCCTCATGTATTTTATTATACTATTTACTTGAGAGAGACAGATAAACAGACCAACCAACCAAATGACCAAAACACAACCACTAGCCTTCAGGCTAGTATTCCCAACTAATCAGTCATTTCTGAGGCTCAAGGCTCCTGAATAGGTTTATAGCCCTGTTTGGGTAAATACCTGACTCTGGGTATTTACCTAAGATAGATTTACTATAGTTGCTAGTCTTTAAAAACAGTGACCCTAAGGCAAACATTCCTCAGATCCTTGTTTGGAGCTTATGGGTCCTTCAACTAGTCTGGAGATGAGGCTTTTTTTTTTTTTTTTTTTTTTGCCAGTCTTGGAGCTTGAACTCAGTCTTGGAGTCTGAGCTTCTCTGTGCTCAAGGCAAGTACTCTACCACTTGAGCCAAGCACCACTTCTGGCCTTTCTGTTTATGTAGTACTGAGGAATCGAACTCAAGGCTTCACACATGCTAGGCAAAAACTCTACCACTAAGCCAGAGATGAGGCTTTTATAGCCAAAATAAAAGTAGACAGCTTTGGGAAACTGAAGATATGAGACTAGACATTGTCACTGTTCCTTCTGCTGCAGCTGTAGACCATTGCACAAATGTTGGCGTCCCCTTAGGATGTTTGGACTCAGTCTGTGAATTATCTGTAACACTTAAAAACACTTAAGTTGTTTATGTTCACAGGAACAAAATCCTTCTCTGGCTCATTCTTTTTCTGTTTCTCCCACTTTCTCTCCATTTCCCCTTTTCTTCTTTTATTATTTCTCATACCCCCTTTTTTTTTTAAAGTGGTACTGGAATCAAACCTCAGACCTCTCTAGTACCAGGCCAGGACAGACCCTGAGCTACATCCATAGCCCCCTCCCACCACCTTTTGTTTCTAGCAGAGGTTGTGTTTTGCATCTAAATTGCCTTTATCATTAGTATAATGATAATGGGACTGAGCTTGAATTCTGGGCTTTTAGGCTTACTGGGTGTTCTACCCTAGAACCTAATGCCATCAGCCCTAACTGTTTTATTATCCTAATAGAGATAGGCTCTGGAAATGGATCTTTCATTCTTGATATTAGTTAGCTTTCATTAATTTTTTTTTTTTTTGTAGGTTGTGGGGCTTGGACTCTGGGCCTGGGTGCTGTCTCAGCCCTTTAGCTCTTGAGCCACAGTGCCACTTCTGGTTTTCTGAGCAGTTAATTGGAGATAAGAATCTCATGGGGGGGAGGGGGGCTCAGTGTTAGAGTGCTTGCCTTGTATGCGTGAGACCCTGGGTTCGATTCCTCAGCACCACATAAGCAGAAAAAGCTGGAAATAGCGCTGTGACTCAAGTGGTAGAGTGCTAGCCTTGAGCTGAAGAGCTGAGGGACAGTGCCTAGGCCCAGAGTTCAGGCCCCAGGACCCACCCAAAAAAAAATTCTCACCAATTTCCCTGCTGGGGCTGGCTTTGAACTGTGATCTTCAGATCTCAGCCTCCTGAGGAGCTAGGATTACAGGTCTGAGCCACTGGCACCCAGCTCATTTTAGGGGGGTCCAGTTGTGGGGCCTGAACTCTGGGCCTGGGCACTGTCCCTCAGCTCTTCAGCTCAAGGCTAGCACTCTACCACTTGAGCCACAGTACCACTTTCTGGCTTTTTTTTTTCTGCTTATGTGGTGCTGAGTAATCGAACACAGGGCCTCATGCATGCAAGGCAAGCGCTCTACCACTGTTTTGTTGGTGGTGGTGGTGGTTTAGGGGCTTGAACTTGGGGCCTGGGCTCTTTTCCTGAGCTCTTTTCATGCAAGGTTAGCATTCTACCACTTTGAGCCACAGTGCTACTTCCGGTTTTCTGGTTAATTATAGAAAAGAGTCTTAAGGACTTTCCTGCCTGGGCTGGCCTTGAACTACAATCCTCAAATCTCAGCTTCTGCATAGCTAAGATTACAGGTGTGAGCTACGGGTGGCTGGCTGATTCACTAAATTTTAATTTGGAATTTTTTATCATTCCTTCTTTGATTTGTGGATTAGACTTATGTTATTTAACTTCTGGAAACTGAGCTATGAGGATTGTGGTTCAAAGCCAGCCCAGGCAGGAACATCCATGAGATTCTTATCTCCCATTAACCGTCATAAAACTGGAAGCGGTGCTATGGCTCAAGTGGTAGAGCACTCGCCTTGAGCTCAAGAGCTCAGGGACAGCACCCAGGCCCAGAGTTCAAGCCCCACGACCGACCAAAAAAAAAAAGTGACAATTGTACAAAGGAGTTAAAGGCACAGCTCAAATTGAAAAAGGACTGCCTGAGTGGCAGTTCAATCCCTGAGGTCAATCCCTGGTACACTATCATTGTGTGATTGTGGTACAAGAGCCACAAAAGTCTGTTGTTTCTTCTGGCTAGGAACTTCAGGAGGATTAGGAAAAAGTTCCCTGAAGTCAAAGATGGGAAATGAGTATGAGAAGAGATGCTTCTTTTTGTCAGTAATGTCACTGATCTTTTCAGTTTTATTCTTTTTTTTTTCTTTATGTGGTGCTGAGGAATCGAACCCAGGGCCTCAGGCATGCAAGGCAAGCACTCTACCACTGAGCCACCTTCCCAGCCCCATGATCTTTTCAGTTTTACCAGTTAATTCTAGTTAAGAAACATAACAGGTAAACAGGAAAAAATAGTGTCTGTCACAGCACTGATCCGCTCTCAGAACTAAATAGACATTATGATAGTAATTAGTCTATATGTGTAATTTCCCAAGTAGGTACTTACAGGAAACAGAACCTAGGGACAGCTGTATCTGATGGAATATGGTATGACACATAACTTTTCTGTGTCCTGTCCCCTGCTGTACTGTTTGTTAATTTTGTAATCTTAGTTAAATCCCCTCTCTGAGTATTCCTCAAGAGTCTAGACAAGGGGCTGGGAAGGTGGCTCAGTGGTAGAGCGCTTGCCTTTCATGCCTGAGGCCCTGGGTTCGATTCCTCAGCACCACATAAGCAAAAAGAAAAAAGCCAGAAGTGGCGCTGTGGCTCAAGTGGTAGAGCGCTAGCCTTGAGCTGAAGAGCTGAGGGACAGCGCCCAGGCCCAGAGTTCAGGCCTCACGACCAGACCCAAAAAAAAAAAAAAGAGTCTAGACAAGGCAATACATAAGGTTTCTTCAGTGATAGGCTTCTATAAACTTACAGTACCTTGTATAAAATGGACTTTAACTTATTTGCATCATAGATTGAATTCTTCATATGTGTTTTATTTGGTTAAGGTTGCGATTGTGGCTCAAGACCTGGCAGCATTCCACACTGCATCATCAGAAATGGGGCACCAGCAGCATAGCCATCACTTAGTAACCACAGAAACCAGACCTCTAACCTTAGTGGCAACATCCAATGGCACCCAGATTGCAGTTCAGGTGAGTACAAGGGCATCCAGTCCTCAGTTGACAGCAGTGCTTCATAGCTCTTAACCTGGGGTCCTGGGTTTTATATAGCTTAGAGGAAGCAGGATACAGAATGATCTGGATACCTAGCTTTTAAGGAAATAGGTATATTTAGGTGATCTCAAAGTGACTTTACTACTTTGCATGTTGTTGAGAAATTGATAGCAAGAAAAAAAAATTCAGGCATGTATCCCTGTATGCATTCAGAGAGCTATCCTCACTGTCAAAATAAAAGTACAAGCTAGGCGACCGTGGTCTATAATCCTAACATCTCAGGAGGCTGAGATCTGAGGATCTCAGTTTGAATCCAGCTCAGACAGGTAAATCTGTGACTCATCTCCAATTAGCTACGAAGAAAGCTAGAAGTAGAGTTGTGGTTCAAGTAGAACACTAGCTTTGAGCACAAAGGGAACAGCATCTAGGCCCTGAGTTCAAGCCCCGGAACTAGTATACACACACACACACACACACACAAAAAAATCCCAAATAAACTATTTATTCTCCTGTAGAGAAGGTGAGTTTTATGTGCTTAATAATAGAGTCAACAGTAGTTTTTTTGTGTTTGGTTTTTGTTTTTTTTTTACCAGTCCTGGGGCTTGGATTTATTTCCTGGGCACTGTTCCTGAGCTGCTTTTGCTCAAGGCTAGCACTCTATTACGTGAGCCACAGTGCCACTTCTGGCTTTTTCTGTGTATGTGGTACTGAAGAATCGAACCCAGGGCTTCATGCATGTTAGGCAAGCACTCTTACCACTAAACCACAGTCCCAGCCTACTATTTTTTTTGAGCTTCCTAACAAGAGATTGTCTTTACCAGTAGTATTTAACAAGCCCAAGAGTCAGAATTATGAAGAGAAGTTTTATTTCTGCCATGTAATATTTCTTCAGCACTATTTTGATTGTGGCTTTTGAATTGTTAATGCTTGATGTATATCTTCTGTTTCAGCTTGGAGAACAGCCATCTCTGGAAGAAGCCATTAGAATAGCATCTAGGATCCAACAAGGAGAAACACCAGGGTTGGATGATTAATCCTCAGAACAATGGAGCAATAAAGCAGGAGCCTTTCATCTTCTGGCAGCAGAAATCCCTGAAGCCGGGGCCCAGGAAAACCAGAAGTTCCATTCCCGATACACTGTACACATTTTAATGCAAGAGTGGAGAACATTTTATTCTTGACACTTTTGTGTATATAACCCCTGGAATAAGTTCCCAAAGTGATTGTGTACAAGCCTGAAATTAGGGCAATACAGTACATTTTCATGTTACTCTTTTATCAGATTGCAATCTACTCGCAAGACCACTGAAGTCTTAATGGAGTCTTATGATGGATTTTTAACTTACTGTGAAAAAGAGAATAAAGGCTGTAACGAAAACTGTTGAAGGTTCTAGATGTCAAACAATCAAAACTCCAAAAGCCATCATGGACAATAAAGGTGTGAAGCCTTCAGATATTTCCCCTGTTAGTAGAGTGTCTGCAGTTTTTGTTCTGTTATATATTGTCCATTTTTATTTGTTTCATGGTTTGAAGACTGTACATTTCCTGTTTCCCTTTCCTGTTACATACCAACTTTTCAATTTGTAATGCACTAGCATTACATTGGATTATGTATAAAATTATAAAGTTTGGTTATTTAAAATTAAAACATTAAATCCAGTGTTTGGGTTTTGTTAAAGATTTTACTAAGTGTTCAGTTTTTTTGTAACTGTTTTTAAATGATAATTAATACTCTAAAGTTTGACCACAAGTTGGTGCCCAGGTAACTGCTATAAATAATTGGAAATGGCTTTACTCTGAAAATTAGGCTAGTACACTGGTGTAAATTATTTATTTTTGCTTATGTACTTTTGTTTTAAAGCTTATTTACCCTAAAGTTTATTATTAATTTTGAATACAGCAATTTTTTAAATGTTACCTTTTATTTGTTTTATTAAATTTGGGTGGAGTTTGGGGGGAATGTTCCAGCACACATAGGTTGACAGCATATTGTGTGTAACACACAGAATAAGCACTTTCCATGTATATTTTTTGTGGACTTGCGGTGGGCTTGTGTGATTTACTGTCATGAGACGGCACTACATTGTATACATGAGGAAACAGTATCCATGGTCGCTGATGGCCCCCAAGCCTGTGGCTGTGAAAGGCAGAGTATGGATTGGAGAACCTAGGCTTGCCCCTGCAGCAAGGAGGCAGATCTGGCCCTCTGGTCAGCTGTACCTGTGAAGGAACATTAAAACTCCTTTCTTTACTTTACTCTTTTTTTTTTTGTCAGCTGTGGGGCCTGAACTCTGGGCCTGGGCGCTATCCCTGAGCTCTTCAGCTCAAGGCTAGTGCTCTACCACTTGAGTCACAGCACCACTTCCAGCTTTTTCTGCTTATGTGATGCTGAGGAATTGAACCTAGAGCCTCATACATGCAAGGCAAGCACTCTACCATTGAGCCAACTTCCCAGACCCTAGTCTCTAAATTTTTATAAGGAGTAGAGACTGTAGGCCAGGTGTGTTTTTCTTTGTAGCAACCTTAAGTTGTGTCTGGGAGAAGAGTAAGATCAGGGTGTTTTCTTGAATGGGAAGAAAGGTTTGCCTTGAACATTTCCAGGATATATTGCAGAGGATTCTGTGGCAACTAGCTCCATTTACTACAGTCCCTCTCGGAGATTTTTCTTTTTTTTTTTTTTGTTGGTCGTGGAGCTTGAACTCTGGGCCTGGGCGCTGTCCCTCAGCTCTTCAGCTCAAGGCTAGCGCTCTACCACTTGAGCTACAGCGCCACTTCCGGTTTTCTGGTGGTTTATTGGAGATAGGAATCTCACGGTCTTTCCTACCCGGGCTGGCTTTGAACCGTGATCCTCAGATCTCAGCCTCCTGAGTAGCTAGGATTACAGGTGTGAGCCACCAGCGCCCAGCTCCTCTCGGAGATTTTTCATGTTTGATGACTCACTGTACATCCTGTACATCCTGTGCTGTGAAGAGACCCTATGGCAACTTCACTAGCTACTGTCTGCACAGCCCCATGACTGACAAAAAAAAAAAAATGTACTGTTTATGACATTCTATCCTGAAATTGCTTGTGCTCTTTCAAACAGAAAAACAATGACAACAAAAATAACCTCTCCTCCATCCACCCGCCCCCCCCCCCCCCTCTATATCCTGGGGGTTAAACTCAAGGCCTGGGTGCTGTCCCTGAGCTTTTTTGCTCAAGGCTAGCACGCTACTTTGAGCCAAAGCTCCCTTTCAGTTTTTCAGTGGTTAATTGGAGATGAGTCTCACTGCCTGGGCTGGCTTTGAACCACAGTCCTCAGATCGCAACATCCTGAGTAGCTAGGATTACAAGCACGAGCCACTGGTGCCTGGTTCCCTTTTTTTTTTTTTTTCCTTCCCCCCAGTGCTGGGGCTTAGACTCAGTACTTTGCACTTGCTAAGCAGATGTTCTACCACTTGAACCATAACCCTAGCCCTCTTGTGGGTTGTTCAAAGCCAAAAAGGAAAGAAACTGGCTCACGAATGAAAGGCATGTAGGTGGGCTCTGGGGTTCGTTGTCAGTAGAGGGTGCTATAGAGGTCAGGGAGCCATCCATAGCCACTTCATCTGTCTGTGTACCACTTCCTTCTGAGACAGTGTCCTGATCTGTACAGTCTTTAGTATGAAAAAAGACATATTCCCTCTGAAGTTTTGATAATTGAGTCTAATGAAGTAAGCTGACAAAAATAAAACTGCCAATAGACACACTAACAAAAAGGCATGCAAATTTACTATATGCATGAGCACAGGAAAGCCACACAAAACCTGAGTTGAAGAAAGCCAAATTGGGCATGGTGGTACACACCTGTAACCCCAGCAGTTTTGAGGCTGAGGCAGAAAAATTTCTCATTAAAGACTACCCTGGGCTATCAAGAGACACCTGTCTCAAAACAAAAACAAAAACCAGGATCTCAATTTGTAGCCTAGACTGGGCTTGAGTTTTCACTTCTGCCTCAGCCTCCTGAGGGCTGAGATTGCAGGAGTTTGCCATTCATGACCATTCTTAGAGACCCTATCCCAAAATGGGGGTGGGTGGGGAGTCGCTTAGGTTCCATAGGGGTTTGTGCTGTACATGATTTTTAGGGGAGATAGGCCTGAAGAGTAGACAATATCCTGAGACAAAATCTGTCTGGGCTCTCTGTATGGTGTCAGCTTCAGTCTCCTCTTCTGTTGAGTCAGTGTTTTCTGTTTCCTGAGGGAAAGGGCACAACACAGTTGCATTTCTGCTGGAGAAACTTGCCTTGGATAACTTCAGAATGGATTTAGTTCTGTGTTCTGGGAGAAGCAGAGGAGTGAGATGGGATAGGGAATTTATAGTGAACAGGTCAAAGGCCTTTTTATTTATTTTTTGCCAGTCCTGGGGCATGAACTCAGAATCTGTACACTGTCCTGAGCTTCTTTTGCTCAAGGCTAGCACTCAACCACTTGAGCCACAGCACCACTTCTGGCTTTTTCTGTGCATGTGCTACTGAGGAATTGAACCTGGGACTTCATACATGCTAGACAAGCACTCTACATCTAAGCCACATTCCCAGCCCAAGACCATGGTTCTGAAATTGCTTTTTCTTCCTCTCCCCCCTTTTAAACTACTCAGTATTCAGGTGGCTCACACCTATAATCCTAGCTACTCTGGAGGCTAAAATCTGAGGATCTCTGTTCAAAGTCAGCCCTGACAGTAAAGGCTATACAACTCTTAATCTCTAATCACCAAAGAGCCAGAAGTGGAGCTGTGGTTCTAGTGGTGAGAGTCCTAGCCTCGAGCGAAGGAAGCTCAGTGAAAGTGCCCAGCCAGCCCTGAGAGCAAGCCTCTGGACTGACAAAAAAAAAAAACAACGGTGCAGCAGGTCAAAACATACTCTGAGATATCCTGTTCTGAGCCCTCACACCCTGATGGAAGTCATTTCAGGCTAGGAGAAAGAAGGGAAGAGAAGGATCTCGACTTGGAAGAAATATTTACAGCCAACCTGAGAGGATAGTTTCCCCTCTCTCTCTCTCTCTCTCTCTCTCTCTCTCTCTCTTGCCAGTCTTGGGGCTCATTAAACTCAGGGCCTGGGCACTGTCTCTGACCTTCTTTGGGCTCAAGGCTAGCTAGCTCTCTACCACTACAACAGTTCTACTTCCAGCCGTTTCTGAGCAGTTTATTGGGAGATAAGAGTCTCTCGGACTCTCCTGCCTGGGCTGGCTTCCAACCATGATCCTCAGACTTTAGCATCTTGAGTAGCTAGGATTACAGGTGTGAGCCACCAGTGCCAGCTAAAAGGTAAGCTCTTTAAGAGACTATCAGAGATAAATTCAGAAATGCCATTATTAGGGTAGTAGGCTTTACCAAAAGGGAAACCTTCAATCCTGATGTTTTCTCTCTGGTTTAAACAACCTCTTGCCCTGTGCTTTCACTGTGCTATGACCACCAAGAAGGCCCTTACAAGCTGGGTGCCCATGGCTCATGCCTGTAACCCTAGCTACTCAGGGCTGAGATCTAAAAATGACAATTCAAAGTCAGTCCAGGCAGGGAAGTTTGTGAAACTCTTATCTCCAATTAACCACCAAAGTGCCAGTGATGGAGCTATGGCTCAAGTGACAGAGTGCTAGCCTTGAGTTAAAAAGTTCATGGAGGGGCTGGGAAGGTGGCTCAGTGGTAGAGCGCTTGCCTTGCATGCTCGAGGCCCTGGGTTCGATTCCTCAGCACCACATAAGCAAAAAGAAAAAAGCCAGAAGTGGCACTGTGGCTCAAGTGGTAGTGCGCTAGCCTTGAGCTGAAGAGCTGAGGGACAGCGCCCAGGCCCAGAGTTCAGGCCCCACGACCGGACCCAAAAAAAAAAAAAAAAGTTCATGGCGTCAGGTGCCAGTGGCTCAGGGCTGTAATCCTAGCTACTCAGGGGGCTGAGATCTGAGGATCGAGGTTCAAAGGCAGCCTGGGCAGGAAAATCCAAGAGACTCTTACTGCCAATAAACCACTCAGAAAACCGAAAGTAGCGCTGGGGCTCAAGTGGTAGAGCGCTAGCCTTGAGCTGAAGAGCTGAGGGACAGCAACAAACCAACAAATCAACAAACCAAAAAAAAACTCATGGAAAGCCGGGAGTTGGTGGCTTATGCCTGTAATCCTAGTTACTCAGGAGGCTAAGATCTGAGGATCACAGTTCAAAGCCAGCCCAGGTAGGAAAGTTCATGAGAAACTTATCTCCAATAAACCACCAGAAAACTGGAAGTGGAGCTCAAAATGGTACCGTCTAGCCTTGAGCCAGAAGCTCAGGGACAGCACCCAGGCCCTGAATTCAAGCCCTCTGACCAACCAAAAAAAAAAAAAAGTCCAGAAACAGCACTCAGACCCTGAATTGAAGCCCCAGGACTGGCAAAAAATAAAAAACCCTATGATATATGGCCTCTCAGTCTTGGACATCCAAGTCTGCTGATATGTGACAAATTTCTTTTCTTTATAAATTATCCAGTTTGGCCAGGTGCCAGTGGCTCACTCCTGTAATTCTAGCTACTCAGGAGGCTGGGATCTGAGGATCACAGTTCAAAGCCAACCCGGGCAGGAAAGTCTGTGAGACTTTTTTTTTTGTCAGTCGTGGGGCCTGAACTCTAGGCCTGGGCGCTGTCCCTCAGCTCTTCATCTCAAGGCTAGTGCTCTACCACTTGAGGCATAAGTGACACTTCC